ACCGATGAGAAGCTGAGGCGAGGCGTCATGGCTGACGGTCACTCATTTCGATTCTCCGGTTTTCTTTGTTTTATTCTCAGTTTAATTCTTCTATATCGCGGAAAAACGACTGATCAGGGCCAATCTCAAATGTTCCCGCGTTTAGCTGACGATTTCTTCTTGGTTCTACAAGATGATTTTGTAGTTTCAATGAACTTAAATATCTTCACAGCGTCCTGGACTAGGCGACATATTGTTTTGCCAATCCTTCGAAGAGGTTTTTCTTCGTCAAGAATCAGTTATTATCCTAACTCTGTTGCAAGTTACCAAACTATTCTTCTCCAGTTGAGCGGCGACGTAAACCCAAATCCTGGTCCAAATGGAGCCGAGCGGCACAATTTTACGGAACAGCAAAAGTCCTCTCGTCTTCTAACCTTTTATGCTAATGCACGAAGCATCGTCAACAAATCAAGCAAATTGGATTTAGCCATTGCCGCTCTGGGCTATGATATAATTGTTTTAACTGAAACTCATCTGGACAGCTCCATCCCTGACGGTGAAATCTTTCCTAGTAACTACTCGGTATTTAGGCGGGACCGAAAGCTCAATGGACGTCATGGAGGCGGGGTATTGATTGCTACGCGAGAACACATCAAAGCGGTTCCCCGTGATACTACACAGAACGATTCAGAGTTCATCTTCGTCGATCTTCTTTTCTCATACAATCGCAAAGTCACTTTGGGAGTTTTCTATCGTCCTCCCAATAACGATCCTAAGCCTTTAGAGGACTTACAAGCTGTTTTGCAAGAGTTTTCGACGAACGAGTTGATTCTTGTTGGCGATTTCAATCTTCCGGAGATTGATTGGTTGAATAACAGATTCTTGCGTCAATCTGATATTTACACACTCATGATGGACATCGTCCAAGACAATTTTTTGACACAGTTGATAAATGAACCTACCAGAGACTCGAACATCCTAGACTTAGTTCTCACTACTTCGCCCGACCTCGTAAACCATTTGGTTGTTGGAGAACCCTTTTCAGATCACAATTCTATCTCCTTCTCGTTATCTGGTATACCTTACGTCCAGCGTAAATCACAGAAGTTGTTGTATTGCTATGGTAAAGCCGACTGGGATCACTTAAGATCGCTGTTATCTTATATTCCATGGCATTGCGCCTTCTTCGACAGCGATATTAATCATAATTGGGCTTGCTGGAAAGACTTGTTATTTACAGCAGTGGATGAGTGCATTCCCAAACGCAAGAATAAAAAAGAGATCCAGTGCCCCTGGATTACACAGGAACTTATTGTTTTGTGCAAAAAGAAGAAATTATTGTATAATAGAGCTCGCAGAAAAAACAATTCAACTATTTGGGAAAAATATCGGCAACTCAACAATTCTGTTAAGAGACTTTGTAACACAGCTAGATGGTCGTATATAAAGAAACTTGCACTTGATCTACAGGAAAATGAAAACCCGAAACCTTTCTGGAATTTTGTTAAGTCCAAGAGAAGAGGCACTAATAATCTCATCTCTATAAGCGTCGATGGATGTGCTCTGACTGACGACTTCAGTATTGCTCAGAGTATGAACTCATATTTCTCTTCGGTGTTTACTACCGAAGATTATGCAAATTTTCCCACTCAAGACTGCACTGTTGACAAGAAACTTGCGAAAATTGATTGTTCTGTCAATGAGGTCAAACGCCATCTTCTGAAACTCAAGCCCAACAAGTCTCCTGGGCCTGACCATATCGCGCCGTGCATTTTTTAAGTCGTGTGCTTCGGAATTAGCACCTTCGTTAACGTATATGATAAACAAATCGTTGTCTCTTGGCCTTTTGCCTGAGGAATGGAAACATGCCGACATTACTCCTCTACATAAGAAGGGTTCCAAATCTTCGAGAGAAAATTACCGCCCAATTTCCCTTACTTCAATTGCTTGTAAGATCTGTGAAAAAATTGTTTTTGATAGGATGATTAAGTTCTGGCGCGAAATCGACTTTATCAATAGCAACCAATTTGGCTTTTTACGAGGAAGATCTACTACAACTCAAATGTTATCAACGTTTAATGACTGGGCGAAATCCCGTAATTCATCCACTCCTACCGATGTTGTTTTTTCTGGATCTTGCCAAAGCCTTCGACAGCGTTCCTCATGAGCGACTGCTTTTAAAATTGAAATGTAGCGGCATCGACGAATGTTTACTCAACTGGCTGAGACATTTTTGGTGGGGCGCAAACAACGTGTAGTCGTTAGGGGATCTTATTCTGATTGGTCGTGCGTTACCTCCGGAACTCCACAGGGAACCATTCTCAGGCCCCTATTGTTTTTATTGTATATTAATGACATATCTGAATTCTTATCATCTACAGTAAAATTATATGCAGACGACACGAAGATCTACAGAGAGATAATTGACCCTATAAAAGATAGTCAGCTTCTTCAGGATGATCTTAATAATCTTAGCGCATGGGCTCGTAAGTGGCAGCTACGTTTCAACGCAGACAAATGCGAATCTATGCGAATCACGCATTTACGCGATAAGTCGGTAACTAATTATTTCTTAGAAAAGCCCCTGAAAGACGTGACTAATTTTAAAGATCTCGGTGTCACACTAACTAGAGATCTTTCATGGGGCCATCACATAAGTATCACTGTCAATAAAGCGAACAAAGTTTTAGGTTCCATTAAACGCTCAGTAGGCACCGCTAACACAAATGTTTTTTCTATGCTGTACATGTCTCTGGTACGGCCAATCTTGGAATATGCGGTACCTGTTTGGTGTCCTTACCTTGTTAAGGACATCCATGCCCTTGAAAATGTACAGCGAAGAGCCTCAAGACTCGCTTTAAATCAACGCAAAGGAGAAATGTCCTATGAAGACCGATGCAAACTGTTAAAATGGCCCACTCTCTCTGACCGTAGAACTTACTTATCTTTAGTCGAATGTTATAAGATAGTTTTTGGTTTTTATCATTTAAATTTTGAAGACTTCTTTGATATTGCCACGATTCGGTCTACGAGAGCAAATCATCAATACAAACTCTATATTAAACCAGCTAGACTTAATTGTTACAAAAATTCTTTTTTTATTAGGATTGTCAAATTATGGAACGAGTTACCGGGTGATATAGTGGAAGCTGACAGCTTTCAGCATTTTAAATCTAAACTTAAATCGTACTTAAATATTTGATTGTAATGATTTTGATTTATATTTTGTCTTTTCTTTTAAGGGAGTTTTTACACAGGGATAACCTCTTAACTTCCTTTTCTAGAAGTATTTTCTTTTTAGTTTTATTTGTATATAATAGTTATCATCTGCTTCTGGAATAAATAAAGTATGTTATGTTATGTATGATACACAGGGTATGAGCAAGTTTTATTGATTTTACGTGTAAAATATTCATATTTCGAAATATTTATCGTTGTAAATCGACCATATTTCGTTTCCCATACTATTCCTTATAAAGTGTTCAAATTTTCAACGGTTCCTCCCGTAACTTAACACCGAGTCACACAACGCGTGACGCGTTCATGAATTCATCGTTGGCTTTTTCTCGAGACGTGAGCTTGGGCCGCCTGTGATTGTCCAAACTACATTGTAACTTTAAACCAAAAACCGAGCGTAATCAGAAAAGAAGGAAATATCACAATAAACCGCTGATAACTCCAAGTTACACTTATATTATATGGGAAGTAAAACAGTTTTTCTCACGATATAGTCATTTTCTAAACTGGTTCATGGAGTGTTTTGAATTCGAAGAGTAGGTAATCACTTTATCGTTCCCAACAAGCCTTGGGATCGGAAACACTACGTAGACGACACCTTCACCATCTTCGATCGCGCGAACTTCGATAGCTTCCTGCAGCATCTGAACCACACATAGCCTTCCCTTCGCTTCACCGTGGAGAATGAGACCAAGAAAGGGGGAATGGGGAGAGCGTCATTGCATGACGTTAGCTCCTTTTTGAAGTTGCCATGGTGGTCTACGAACTAACAAGAAACAAACAAGCTTAAAAGGATCTAAACGTTAGTTCGCTGGACTCATGAATAAAATTTTTCCTTTTATGCACAATTCAGGATGACGACCAATTATGTTTTCTGTTCTCCTGGGTCAACATCTCAGTTTTGGAGTAAAATAAAAGGTTTAATAAGGTTTTATTTTTCGGATTGAAAAAGGGAATGAGGATTTGCCGAAAAAGAAAAATTTTGAAAAAAAAAATTTTACAAATTTTAAAAGCAATCCAATTATAATTTATAGAAGAGAAGCCTCTTGAGCAGTTTGATGATACTTCACTCACTATCCATTCCGATCTGTCAACTTAAGTAAACAAATACGCTTTTATTACCAGCAATAACGTCATTTTAGGCCATTAACTCGGATGTTAATTATTCCGTCTTCTCTACGTTTAAATAAAAGCGCACTTCCTTCTTAAAGAAGTATCTTGGTTAATTGTTGCAAACGAAAACCAACTTCTGGTACGTTTCTTTTACTTAAGTCGTTGGAGAAACTTGTCTTCTAGCTTCTAACTGTGCCCCACATCTGCTACACCTTAACCAGCTTTATATGACGAGGAAATTTTTTGACCATTAGCACAGCTCTTTACGCATAAACTGGAATAACAAGCTCAGTTTTCTGAAACGGGTGTTCATTTAAAAAGAAATTTACCTTAGCAAAAAAATTCTTCCGCTTGAAGGTTACTCGCTTATTCATTAAGAGTCCGTTGGATCGTTATCACTCAATCAAAACGCAAGTTAAATTACTCTACCGGTGATAAAAATTAGCCCCACTGGTTGAGCTGTAAATTTTCACTGGTCTCGTAATGCAAGCCTAACACATGTTCTATTTACATCCTGTCAAATTCAAAACTCGACCTCATAATTTTATTGAAAAATGTCATTGCGTTCTTATAACATTTTGCCTTGTATCCTCCTTCAATATCATGCAGTCATTGCATATCTCATAGCAAGTTTAACACTTATCAAAATAGATTACATAGAAAGGAAAGGTTTAGGACCAACGTGATATGCGATTTCTCCGCAACAGCAAGTTCCGTATAACGTCCATGATAGCACGTCGAATGTGTCGCATCTTCCAGCAGTAAATTACAGGATTCAGGGATGAATTAAGATACAACAGAGTCAAAGAGAAAAGAAAAAGTTTCTTTAAATTGATGCTCGCGTTGTTTACGCGAATGGCTGCGAGGCAGATAAACAGTGGCAAATAACAAACTAAAAACACAAGATACACATAAAATGTGACGGTGGCAGAATTGATGAGGCGAGTAAAATTTGCCACTGAGCTTCTATGTTGTGCTTGGTGTATATGCAGAGACTGAATCTCATTTTTGTGTCGTCGTGCGACCAAATAAACCCTGATGTAAACAAACGTTGCGATAATAAGACAAAAAACTCCACCTGTCATACGAAATAGCCTTCGATCTTGGTGTAGGTTCCAAAATGTAAGTATAAAACAAACAGCGCTAAACAGCCAAATGGATACAACCACAGCAACAACACGCCTGTGAGTCACAAGTTCCTTATATCTGAGATGAAGATGAATAGCTAAGAACCTGTCCACACTTATAGCCAGAACACCTAGGAACGAAGTAAGCGAGAAAAAAGTACCGCACATTTGATAAACCATTGCGATGATACAGTTAGAATCATTCTGTTGCAACCAGTTGATAAGAAGGGAAATGTAAATTGGTTGAACAACCAAACCAACACCAACATCAGAAGCAGAAAGACTCAGAAGGAACGTTTTTAAAGTCTGTGGTAACGACGAACATCTTCGTATCGCGAAAATCGCTAACATGTTCGACACGATGGTGTTTTGAGCGAGTAAAATGTTGAAGACACAATTGCAGATATACGTGAAACGCAAATCTTGAAAGTCCGAGAACGAGGGATAATGCTGAAGTAACTCGTCACAATACACTTCGTCCATGATTATCGACGCGATTCGTGAGCAAAATTGTTTCTTCCTTCGGTTCCACCGGATCGCTGTAGCACCGCTATGGTCACTCTCGAAGAAAGGTGTGAGTTATCTTGAAGATATTCTATTCTAGGATGTCACAGCTGAAGTGCAACGTCAAATTCAGACGAGTTCTTTCAATTGCTGATGTCGCTGGACAAAAGGAAGACGTAAGTAGTAGTTGATTAGCGGACAAAGGTGTCATATGGAATTACAGAAAAAAAAAGTTAAATAATAGTTTGGCCAATTAATTATGAAATATGGCTGGAAATGATGCATATTACTCGTATTACGCTACAAGGTGCTACAGAGTCGAAATAAAGAAATACATGTCGGCGATTTAGAATTCCCGTGCATTCAAATCCAGATGTTTCCTCTGTCTGGTGTTTGCTCGACATCGTCAAGTATCGTGGGAATAAGTTCAAATTTTGGGTCTGTAAAACTCTCAATTAAGTCCTTAATGAATTGGATCAGTAATGAAAGTGCGATTAACACAGGATTGTATTTGCCAAACTAACAAAACATTTCCATATTTTCGATTTGCTAACAGTTAAATATCTATTTTATTTCAATCTTATTATGTTACAGAACACATTTTAACTATGGTAATCTGAAAAAAGCGAAAAATAGTGAAGACTTCCTGGCTTTGAGCTCTCACATCAATAATACAGTACATCAAGAGAGAAGGTCATAATTACCATAAATTCTTGTTCATACATAATTATTTAATAATATCTCGTCAAACAGCCATGCTCAAGCTCGTGTCATTATGTTAAAATACCACTGGCATAACTAAAAATGATCACACGAGCGATGAGTCACAGGAGCGGTACCTAATTTCCAAAGCTTAGTTTTTCTTCTGTGTATTTTATAAGAAATTTCCTTCAGAAGAAAAGATAGTTGATTGGAAATGCTTTTCGAGAGATATTGCTAATGATATGTTCTTCTAGTTTATTTTGACAGCTCTTGACAGGTGTATTCTGACCATCACGTGATTTACACGGCACAACGATCCAATCGTGTGTAATTCAGGCCCACCCTAATTACCATTACATTCGTCCCGCATTTGCGAGTTGCCAAGACAACGAAAGATCAAGAAATATTAAAAAAAAAAACAATTACAACTCGTTCACTCATTTGATAACAGAATTAAAAAAATAACCGATAATGTAAAGTGAAAATGAAAAAGTTATTGACATCAAACGGGTATTTTCTTCAAGATATCAGAAGTAAAACTAGATCATACTACTTCCGTTATACTTTAACAGTCAGAGAAAGATTGCATTATATACGATTGAGTTACGTCATATTAAAACTAGGTAATCACAACGACCGAACAGAACGATGAAAACTTTCAGAAACAAGCAAACCGCAAGAAGCGCGAGAAAGCGCGAATTAGTGAATAAAATTTCTTTAGCTTTGCATATGATTGGTTTCATACACCATTCATTAGTAGGCACATCAAAACTTCGCTTCTATCACTGAAACTTTGGTTGAAATTCCAGATTCCAATTATCAAGCGGCCCTTGATAATCAAATTTTCTCAATCATCAAAACTTTAGAAACTGATAAACTGGTTCTAAGATAAGTGTAATACGCGGTTTCAGTATTAAGACATCTTCCCAAGTATGTCTTTGACAGCGCACCTAACGTGTCTCATCTTTAAGCAGTAAACTACTGGGTTCAGAGATGAATTCAGAAACACGACAGTATATGAGTACAGGTAAAATCTCTTCATTGCGTTATTCGTGGTTGTGGTCATCTCTGCGATGGCTAAATGAACAGTGATAGGCAAATAGCAAGCTAGAAATACGAGATACACGTAGAATATACCGACCGCAGATTTAACAACGGAAGCAACATTTTCCATTTCACTTCTGTGTTCTTGTTTTAGCTGTCCTTTAAGAGCCTGCATTTTCTTCTTATGGAGTCGAACAGTTAAATAAATTCTGATATAAACCAATGCCGTGATAAGAACAGACAAAATAACAATTACTATATAACATAACGCCTGAACTAAGGATGAAACCCAAAGATGCATCGAAGAACCAGATGCGCTAAGCAGCCATATTGAGATCACTACCACGACAACGCGCTTGTGAGTCACAAGTTCCTGGTATCTGAGATGAAGATGAATAGCCAAGAATCTGTCCACACTTACAGCCACGATACCTAAGAATGAAGCTACAGAAAACGAGCCACAAATTATTCCAAACACGTTAAACGTGTTACAGCTGGGAATGTTTCTTTGCAAGCACTTGATCAGCAGTGACGAGTAAAATGGCTGAACAAGCAAACCAACACCAACATCAGAAACAGCCAGGCTCAACAGCAGTGTCTTCAAATTCTTTAAAGTCTTTGGCAACGAGGGCGTTTTTTGCATCGCGTACATCGTCACAGCATTCAGCAAAATCGCGCTAAGGGACAAGAAAATATTCAAAGTACAATTTAAGATGTAAGTGAAACGAAGAACTTTGGGTTCTGTGGTCTTAGCGAAAGAATACATCCAAACTTCGCAATTTGAGTCATTCATGATGTGAGCTTGTGGAGTCAGCATTGACTGAGCAAGGATAATCCTTGTCGTTGTGGACAGGCAGGTGAAAAACAGAAATGTACTTGTCCAAACATTAAATATGATATATATCACAAATTTTCGAATTTGCATTAAAATGAAAGATTATTGACGTGAGTTGGCGCTGAAAAGCTTGTGTTGTGCCAATACAATTCAGTTTCGATTAATCCGATTTCTCTTACTCCAAGTCTTCCGGAAAAAATAACTGATATAACTATATAACTATACATATAACTGATATAACCATATCCGGCACCACATTTAAATGTGTCCTTAAAGCCTCACTGTTGAGCCCAAATTTAAAATATCAAAAGTAGCCTATGATACTATCGGGTAATTTAGTGTTAACAACTGGGTTGAAAACGTAAATTAGCCACCGTAAAGGGTAAAAAAGCTGACGTTTCGAGCGTTAGCCCTTCGTCAGAGCGATCGCTCTGACGAAGGGCTAACGCTCGAAACGTCAGCTTTTTTACCCTTTACGGTGGCTAATTTACGTTTTCAACCCAGTTGTTAACACTAAATTACCTGCTATACTCTCCCACCGACGCAGCACCACAGTTTCTTTAGAAACTTACCCCTTTATGGTACTATCAGTTTAACATCTGTGTCAACTTCGGAAAAAACCGAAACATAGAAATATTCTTTTAAATAGCTCTCATCTAAAAGTTTCGCATCGCATTATTGAATTACAGACACAACTATTTGGTAACTTAACCAGAAACTCCTGCATTTCGATTATCTGTAAAGGAAATTCACCAATTTCACTGATTTAAACAGTAAACTGCTCTCTATTAAAATGAAAAAAATTTTCTCCGAGTTTCATGATGCGCCGATCACACCTATTAGGATATTTCTGCTAGGGAAACTTTTATTTTTAATCGCCACAATCCTGAAATGATTGTGAGATGTTCATTGTCTTGTGCTGTCTTCCGTAGTGTCACGGCAAGAACTGAAAACAATGCTTTGGTGGCTATAAGCCAGAAATCACAAAAGGGCAGAATTCAATTGTGTATCAAGTGCGAATGTCGAACTACTAAGGTACTCGTAAATAAACAATAAATAGCACTGAGAAACACCGGATCAAACTTGAATCAAGATCAGAATTCTATTGTTACACTCACTCACTCACTCATCTCAACATCTTCGCCTCCTGTAGGAGGCAGTAGCCACAAAAAAACCCCCGCTAAGTGTCACTAACAGAATTATCGACTGCCGAGTAAACTCAAAGAATTCACCTAGGGTGCATGAACAATTTAAAGTATTTGTTTTCAACAGATAAACAAGAAAATAGTTTAATTGAACATTGGCCTTTATCTGTCTTATTAACAATTTGAATGAAAGGTTGTCATAAATGTTATTGAAGAGGATTTAAGATGGCGTCCATTAGAGAAGATCACGAGCAACAGTTGTCTTGAACTGAAACATGCTTTTCAAAGAGCCACTTTTGCTACAAAGCCGTCAAAATTGTTAAACATTTTCAGGATGTAAAAAGGGGAAACTACTTATCAGAGGATAGATGATAGTTCCAAGAAGTCGTGGAAGAACAATGATAAAACCGACGCGATTTAGATTGTTTAACTTTCGGACATCAGTAACACAACTGCTGTCTGTCTGTCTGTATCCAACTTGTAAGTAAAATGTTCCACCGTCATATCTACTCACGCGATTATGGTCACTAAAGATTGGTGGGAGTTGACTGGTCCTGTATAGTCAATCCACGAAATACGATGGCCACTTGCGCATTTCCTTTGGATACCTAGTGCCACTTCCCTCGCGCATGGAGTAGAGCTGGTCTATTTAATATGACACGTTAGTCAAACTTGCAAGGAGGGGCAAAATTTCTTAACCCGAAACAGTAAAAGAATAAGGTTCAAAAAACACTGGCCTATAGTGGAAAATTAATTTAGTTAACTCTTAAATTCTTGTCTTAAGAATTCACTGTTCAAATTTCCTAAGTTTTAAAAGCAAAACTACAATGAGTGTGACGAACATTGTTCTGTGTCTGGTCTAGTTTACTTTTTTGTTGCCCTATAATGTCGACAAAAACATAGCTCATCTTTCAAGAAAAGTGTGTACTAAACCTACAGAGTAAGTGCAGAAGGCTAACATGAAATGGAACTACGAGATCTTGTAGCAACAATTTACTGAAGACGTCAGTTTAACAGTTCGGAACTTCCATAGGTACCTGTTTGAGCACACGGGACAGTGGTCAGCACTGTATGAGCGGATACATGGTGTAACACACATAAGGTAGTTTAACGTTTTCTAATTAGGGATTTAAACAAATGGCAAGAGTTTATTGTTGGGTAAATACGGCATTTTAAAATGATTGTCTACCATGGTTACAATCTTCACCAAAGTAAATATTATTCGGTTGAATTTTACTGAGAAGAAAATTCATCTCACGGTGTTTACTTTTGAACTGTCCCAGTCATTTTATCCGCAGGAAAAAATTATGAACGCGCCACTGACGCGCGGCTTGATGTTGTAATGTTCCGCAGTAAGTTTATGATAGTGTTTCGAACGTGTCTCATCTTCCAGCAGTAAATAACAGGGTTCAGAGATGAATTTAGAAATACAAAAATCGATGAGAAAAGATTAAGTCTCTTAAGAGCAATAGTCGGTCCACAAATAGCAATACCAACTACATAAGCAACAAACGGCAAATAGCAAATCAAAAATACAACGTACACGTAATAGACACCAACCGCAGTCCTGATAAGGCTTGTCAAATATGTCATTTCACCAACCCGTTGAATTTGTTCTTCATGCGCTTCCTGTACTTGCAAGGACTGTATCTGATTCTTGTGGCGTCTTAGAGAGAAATAAATCCTAGAGTACGCAATTTTTGTCAGTAGAACACAACCAATTCCGACAAAGCTTACAGAAATAAAACGGATGGTATTAGGGACCCACAAGATCGAAAAAGCAATGAAGAAACTAAGCAGCCACATCGACATGACCACGGCAATAACACGCCTGTGAGTCACAAGTTCCTGGTATCTGAGATGAATATGAATAGCTAAGAACCTGTCTACGCTTAAGGCTATGACACCAAAAAACGAGGCACCGGAAAAAACGTGCGATATGACATCGAATGCCCTGTAAGTAGGACAACCTGGGATGCTATGCTGTAAAACTCTGACCAAAATTGAAGTGAAAAACGGCTGGACAACCAAACCTACACCAACATCAGAAACAGCAAGACTCAGAAGAAATGTTTTTAAAGTATTGGATAACAAGGAAGTTTTTCTAATCGCGTAGATGGTTATAATGTTCAACACAATGGTGGTACAAGAGAGGATACTGCTTAACACACAACATATGATGCTGGTCGAACGAAGATCGTCAACATCGGACATTTGCAGCAAAAGTTGACAAGGTAACATGATAGACAGTGGGACTCAATGCCTCTTTTTCAAAATGCGATGAAGTCAAACAGATTCTTTCAGGATGCAGAGGTGTAAAAACGATCCCCAACGAATTTCTCGTTAATAAACGGCAAAAAGTCGACAATCGTTTTATCTATACGCAATACTTATGCTTAATTATGCATTGGTCTTCAGAATTTTAATTAAAAAAGGAAACACAGTATGCCAGTGGCGAAAATATTTGTTCATTAGCGAGGGTATGTGTTTGTTAGATAACTAGTTTTGCTTCTCGAAATGTGGAAACTTTCGACAGACACGGCAAACACAAAATTTAATTATTCAACCTTCCTGCTCAGGCTGAATTCAGGAGTTTGGTACGCACTGAAGTGGCAAAAACAAACCTTTTAAGAAATTCATTAAATCATACAAACAGTCACTCCTGTCCGTAACTTTCATTATAACCAAGAGCCCATTAATGGGCTCCTGTCATATCTCCGTCAGCAGGCTCCAAAACAAATGGAAATACAATATATATTGCGCAGTTAGAGCACTTCTAGCAACGGAAATTGAGAACAAGAAAGGCAGAGACACTGTAAGAGCTGCTCTCAATCATAGCGGGGATAAGGGAATAAATGAAGAAAAAGTTAAAAATATTATGTAAGAATATTTCTGTTTGATCCATTGGTCTCAAAGCAATAACACAAAGTAGGTTTTCCAGCCTCGTGCGTCATAAGGATATTTCAACAGGGATCCCACCTCTCAAATGAGGTTCTGAGTGGAGCCCTGGGCTTAGAAGCCGAACTTGATGAAAAAAATCCAGAAGTTGATTTAAAGAGAAAATGAAGAAGATATAATTATTAAAAAAAATATACATGCTATGGGAAATGTTACACCTGAAAATCTTAATGTCAGTAGAAATAACCTGTCACTGCAGTTAATCATAAAAAAAACTTATTGTTTAAATAAAAGCCATTAAGAAATATCCATCACCAAATTATCCTGCGTAATTACACTGTTCAAAAAGGCACTTTTTCGCTTCAAAAAAATGTATCTGAAATGTGTAAGTTTCCTTTCCCTTAAGCAGAGTTTTCCTACTTTTATTCTAAAGGTTTATTGTATGGACCAGAATTGTTTTTCTTTTCCTCTCCCTTTCTGACGACTTCGTTTCACCAACAAAGACGAAACACTAGCCCTGTAGGTCTTTATTACTAGAGCCTTAAACTGATATTAAAAAATTATTGGATGAAGTTTTCATGATATCCAGAATAATCAAAGTCAAGGTGGGAGTAATCAGCCGAAGCTGAAGGCTAAGGCAGGTAGCCCTTCACGAGAAAAAAAAATGGTCACGATAGCGGTAAGTGGAATGGATAATTTATTTCTAAACGTGTAAAAACATAAAATCATCAGCACATACTTCAATTGTCGAAAAAAGTCTAAGCATTCATTTGACAATATGTGAATAAAAGCTGGTTGAGAAAGTAAATAGCAGTAAATAAGCTTAACAGAAGTAAACATTACAATTGTAAAAAGCGAAATTCAACTATTTTTTCGATGTCTCGTTAGGTCAACGAAGTAGACCTGAAAGTCATGTTTTTGCTTCTTCACTGACGGCAAGCAACACAAAGCGCACGAACTTGACATGATTACCCTTAGAAATCATGCACCGCGGTCACACATAACATGATTACCCCTGACCTTGAGTGACCTTGCCATGATTATTGTTTCATCTATAACTAGATGACGTCCCAGGCGCTGATTTAGAAAATTCACTGTATACGTTTTCGGCCAACCAGAAAATAGACAATTAGTCGAATGTATAATTATACATATTATCCATTATGTTGTCAGAGATCTAGCGAAAAAAATCTAATTCATAATTATTGTAATCCACCTTTACACAAAGTAAAGTTGCAGCAGTGAAGAAGAATAAAAATTTAGAGTCTTGGCACCTCACGTTAACGTGATCACCGGTACCTCGATAGTTAGTTTCCCCATCCCCGCGTCACGACAATGTATTTCGTACAACGTGACACTGCCTTCGATGGGGTTTCTCAAGGCGCAGTATCAACAGCCAGCTACAGCCACAAATGTCCACGTTCGACAGCTTTTAAATTTCTCATAGAGTACTTTTGAGAATTATACTGATTTATGAAGTTGTGATTAACTTAAAACAAAACGTTTATTTACAGTTACTTTTAGTTGCATTGATACAAAACAAATTTTATTCGGTTTCCCGATGGAAATCTCAGTATCATACTTGCTTTGTTCTCACCTTTGCAATCCACAATAAAGACTCTTTAAGCAGCCCAAATAGTACCAAATTTCCACGCCACAAGGGTAAGTTTAGTCAATGTAATAGTCCTCTTTCCCAGGTTGTGTCCTTGGAAGAACGTCGCCATGTTGTTTTTGTTCTGCATCGTTTCCCTCGGTCAGCTGCAATATAGTTATGTGGTGTAACCATCATGGCGTGCGGTTACACCCTGAGCGACGTGGTCACAAAGCATCTTCGCCGGAAAATGAAGATCTTTAGATCATTTCTGGAGCGTCATTTTAAGAAGAAAATGCGGAACACATTGATAAAGTAAGGCACGTACACACAACTCTAAAATCAAGGTTTGCTTGTATGAAACGCTCAAGTTGAAATGTTCAATACTCCGAAACGATAGTATAATTCTCGTCTTGGTTATGGTTAGGGGTAGGCGTTAATTTGTTTTTCTCTTTTTGAAGTGTTAAGGAATTAACCCAGGGTTCATATCGGTGACATGAACTGTGGAAAAGACGAAAAAACCGTCAAACTCTCCGTCGGCTTCTCTTTGGCACCAGACTTGTCATTAGCGTTAATCTTTTCTAGAGATTCCCGGCCATGAGATGTTAAAAAGGAAAATCAATATGGAAGTAGAGGGGAGATACATCCTGGCTGAGCTAGAAATATTATCTTGATAGAGGACGAAGCTCTAATGACCAATCATAATCAGTATGAAAGGAATTAGTTTATCGAGACTTTGCACCAGTAGTGGTGTCCTCAGTGATTATATCAATCCTGCGCATGGCGTTTTTCCTTCAAGAGGACGGGGTCACTGTTCAAGGTTATTGTACCGCAGATGTCGAAGACTGTCAATCGCATACAGCACAGAAATAAGGTTCAATTCTCCACCTTTATTCATAATAATTTTAAATAATAATGGAACTGGTGTGATATTCCAGCGACCTTATTCACGCACGTAGGAACATCTCCAGTATAAATAACTCAAGAACTGGCCATGTCAACGGCTTAGAACCGACAGCAGTTCATTCAGCACCTGTCCACTGCTTGCGTATGCAAATAGCCGACACAGGCAAATAAAAAAATTACGGTTGTATCGATCTTATTCTGACAGTAGCAGCATTATCTTTGATTCAAGAAATATTGCTCCACCCTCGCAATAATTAGTTAAAAGAATAAAACCAGTAGCAACTTACTCTTCGCCTACCCAATCCGTTTAAGGAAGCTTAAATGTTCTTACTTTGGCTTCTCATTGACCTTTTATACTGTTTTTCTCTGTTCAGATTTGCCATTGAGATTACTTTGGTCTCTGTTTTATAACAGTTGACCGAAAGGCACTCTTATTTAGTAATCTTAGCTCTACCTTTGTTGTTTAGTAATTAAGACTCTGCGTCAATCAATAAGCTTTTGAGATAAGATTTTTTTCACCTGTTCAAAATCAGCTACGATTGTCTCACGTTAACACTTTGGTTTATAGTAATTCCAAGAAGTGTAAGACAACTGAAGAGAAAAGGTCAGAGCAGATTTGCAAACAAAAGGAAAGGCTATGGAGACAAAATTTAAGTGTGATACATAGCACTTCTCATAAAGAATGCAGGTCGTCACTTTGAGGAAAATACGACATTTTTCAATTTATTTGTTCAATTTACTTTCTTGAGGTTTTCAAGGACTCAAAATAACGAATATACCACTGCATAGCAGCTTTCCAGAATTCATAAATCTTGCATTGTGCATTCAAAAATATAAATAACTTTTAAAACCCTTTTTCGATAACAATATGTCTTTTTTGCTTTATAATTTACAGCGTCACTGATTTGTCATTGTTATTAAGGCTTCAGTACTGCCTTGTCCAAAGCCTTCTGGAAACTTTCCAACGCTCTCCTGAGACTCAGACAAAATCCGCGAGAGAGTGGAAACAAGGGATAATCGGGGCCGATCTTTTCCCACGAGGTCGCACCTTGACATACGCCGTCGTTCTCGGTTTTCGAGGTTTTGCCTTCGGGAGATGGATCTAGACAACTCGCCCCTTTACCCTCGGGGTCGTTGGCTTCGTTCGTAACGTCATTTTCAGCGACGCAGTTCTTTACAAGTTCATTTTGTCCTTGCCCCTCGTTTGGTTCTAGTTCTCCCGCTGAAGAATGACCGTTCAACATCTGTTCGTTATCGCATCCCGGTACAGACTTAGTTCGCGTTGCTTCTGCGACGATGACGTCATGGACGGTTTCTTCTATATGTCTCAGTTCACCAGCCGCACCATAATCCTTAGGGTCGCCATTTTCGCATTCGGACAGTGTTGTCTCCTGCTCGTGGAAAAGATCAATCCACCGCTTGAATTTTTGTATCATTCTGTGAAGAGGTAACAGAAATGGTCATAATTATGGCTAAAATTTTTACGGAAATATCTTGTTGCAGTCAAGGTACAAAGCTATCAACATCTCATGTCTAAGACGAACTATGCCCTCTTTCGAGTAGTAATTTCCCCAACAAAAAGTGTTGTCCGGCTTGAACTTTGAGTCAAAGTATTCAAAAACCAGCTGAATAAGTCGAGGTTCGAAAGACAATACTCAGGTCACCAACCTTACCGACAACTTTGCTCCTGCGGTTAGGACTGTAAGTGGATAATGAAGACCATGGCCTAATTTAACTCGAATCTTGCTCCGAGAGTCCACGCTATCTCTGCTAGAGGTTTTACTTTTACCACGACAACTTCAAGAATTAATCTATAGCAAAACAGCTAGTTTCGGTACACATACTGTGTGTATCAGCCGCCTCGACCTTTGCCTGCATGTCTGTCCATCTGTTAGTCTGTCAATCCGTCTCTGTCTCTGACCAATAGACGGACGCACAAGTATGTCTATGTAAATCAACTAAGAGCTAATTAAACAACTACCGACGGATGAGTTATTAACATCGGTCTCTTAATCTGCATGCCTGACTAACCGACTTGCTAACTGACCAACTGATGATATCTCACCTTGCTCCATGATGCGCGAAGTGCTGTAGTATTTCTTTTTCCAAGCCGCTTGGAGGTTTTGTGACAAGTTTCTCCATCGACTGGACCAGTTTCAGTAAAACCATTTCATTGTACAGGCGACTATTCTCCAATCCCTGCGCGGTTCCTCTCTGTTTTTCATACCCAGCTTCGTTGTAATATGGTTCACTGCATAAAATTAGTCCTGGAGGGAAGTAAACTAGCATTAAAATAAGGCTTGATCGTAAAAAAAAAAACTGTACAGAATACAATTAAAATCGATTTTGTCCTTAAAAATGTCTACCTACTCCTCCTGAGCGTAATTCTAATCCTTTGCAATTCACCCCTCTTCGCAAAATTTAAGATTTTTCTACCAGTTGTTTGGCAACAATTGCCAATTTTTGGTTGTGATAGAAATGTCGACAAGAATGAAGCATGAGGAACACTCACCATCAAAAAATTGCAATGCATTACCTTGTATTGATACCAAAACTTGAAGCACGTTCGACTTGGACGTCCAAACCTCGCTTCCACGCCCGGCCCAGGTTCCCAGTAGACTCACACAAACCTTGCCGTCCTCGTAAAGGTTTGGATTTAAACGACCGGAGCACTGGGACAGGTAGTAGAACACAGGGGGAGAGGCAGGGTAATCTGGCGGCAGCCGGACATCAAAAACAAACAGTCCATGTTCGTATGGGGTTCCCACAGGCCCAGTAATCATGACCCTCAGAATATCCTGGTGCAAAAATAAAAGGGGCTTATTAAGAGCTCTTGATAAAGGTCATTTCAACGCAGAACTGCAGTAAAAGAGTACCTATATTCACGAGTATCTTGAACCTGACGATGAAGGCTGAAAGTTTGGACAATTAACAGATCCATTCAAATCATTTCTTAAGCATAATACAATACGACCAACTCGATATGGTCATAAAAACCTAACGTAGCTTCAAATTTGAAAAGACTAAAATAATGAGGTATATAAGAGAAAATAAATGCATTTTTAGTAACGAGTAAGACTGGCTTAAAGTAGAGGATTCCCAGAGAGACAGGAACAACCGTAATGATATTAAACGGAATGGTCAATATTTGCTGATGACTTGATGCAAGAGGCAATTTCAACCCAAAATTTATTGTGTCAGCTAATTGCCAGGTAGAACTGCATGTTGCAGATTTTTTGGTTACTCTCCAACCCTTCACTCACCGTTTGACGCAATATACGACCACTTTTTATAGAAAAAGCCGCTCGATTCGTGCCAAATGACTTCACTGTAGCAACACCGCGTCAAAAGTCGTCTAGTTTAATGACCCACTCACTGTTTTCATGTCGTGAATATGTACCAGCATCAAAGAGATGCATAGAAATTTTTTTGTTTTTTCTGCTCTCTCTCTCTCTGTCTGTCTGTCTTCCCTCTCTATAACACTGATAAAAGGACACTCACCACACGATTCTCGTATCCTCGGACTATGATTCCGGCTGGGAGTGAAAACTTAAGAAGAGCCATCTCTTTTCGCAGACACGACAAGAAGCGACCAGGATTTTGCGCCTGGAATGTGGTATGAAAGTAGATGTGCTCTTCAGGAACATTTTCGAAAGTCATAAAAGCTGTGAAGTGAAAAAAATTATCATTTGTTAAAATTAATGTCTAATGGCATGAATATGGAAATTAATCAGAGAAGTTTACATGGGCGCCTGTCAAAATCAAACATTTTAAAATGTTTCAAAGTGCATTACCAAGGACAAATATCTAAGTCTCATTTTCCGTAAAACGCTCAAAAATACTTTACCAGGATTTGTATTTGACACAATTTCGTTGATCCTGTTGTTCGCCTCCTGTAGGACCTCTCCGTCGACATTCTCCTCCTCACCAGCTGAGGAGCCGTGCCTTGGCACGTGATCCATGATGTCAAGAGGCCCATCTTCTTCAGTACTCTCCCCACTCGTGGTCTCCCATTCATCATCTGATGCCATGGTGGAACCATCTGATGACAGCTGTCCATCGTCCTAAAACGTCGGTCAATCATTTAATTAATAGATGTCAGTAACGCTTCAAAACGCTTGGAAATCCTGCTTTAACACTCCACCTGGGTTAAATCACGCTAGGCACGAACAGTACAGAAGCTTCACTTAGCCCGGTGGCAGAATGCGTGGAGCAGCAAAGCATGGAAAACATGGACATCAGAACGATATACTCAGTTAAACTATCACACTTTCACAAAGTACCCTGAACAACTGACATTACCTCGGTATCAAATTTGTACAGCTCCTGAGGTTTAACTTTGGAGACCGTGCTGTCCACCCATCGGATGGACACACTGCCTTCGTCGTCCACTCGTGTGACCTGAAGATATGGGAAATATAAAGAAACTGAGATAAAGGGGCTGATCTGTAAATTAACAAACTGTTACCTGACTTCCAAAGAACTTGCTTAAAGTCACCCTACCTGACCTATACATGAAGTTGTTGTGTCAGAATTCTGATCGCCCTCGTTTTCATAGTCATCCCTTGCCATGCGCACCACAACATCTCCTACGCTGAACACGAAATCCGTATGCTCAGTGATGTCGTACACGCTCACGTCACGTTCCACACTCAGTTCTTCACCATCTCGCGAGAACCACTTGATGTAACACAAGCGTGACTGATGGTCAGCAGTGAGTACGACACCATACTTTGACGAATCTGCATTCTCTGTGTAGATAGCATTGTCGCAGAATGGTAATTACTTCCAAATGTGGGGTTTCCTTACCTTTCAAAAATAAGAACCTAACATAACCTCTATTTAGAAAAGAAAAGCAAACACAATATTCGCGCACGACTGAATGAATCAGCGAAGATCTTAAAGAAAGAGCCACACATGCCAAAAAACTAAGTAACGTTTTAAGGCTCTAGAATTTAATAACTCTCTCTTTTCATGGTGGCCGAGATGGTAAGTTTGGGGTCCTTTAAGGCCCGACCAAACGCATGCAACATCTTGCAACGTTTTTGCACGCAACGCGTTCCACACGTTAGGCCACCCTATAGCAACATACTGCAACATGTTTCAAGATGTTGGATGGTGTTAAATAAAGTCTGAAAATAGTCAAATTTTTGTTGCAACATTTTTTAATGTTGCAAAATGTTGCGCGCGTTTGGCCACTGAGCACTTTCACAACATCTCGCAGCACGGTACAACAATGTTGAAATGTTGCGTGCATTTGAGTGGGCCTTTCACCGCAAGGGCTAGCAAAGGATTAAAACTGATCATTACATCAGAGCAGTTTTCGATTGAGTGTCGAAAGTACAGCTGTAAACTAACCAAAAGTACATATAGTTAAAGGGATTTAAGTGATTCCGAACTGAATCTTCGAATTCCTTCAAGAAATGACACGTATTAGATTTAATACGTAACTGACCCCTTTTATCAGACACATAATCTCCTGGAAAGAACTCCAGCTCGTCTAAGTGAAACACTGGTATCAAATCCGTGGATAACACCTTTTCCTGTTTGGAGCCATCCTGCCAGATAACATCCACTGTGGTACAAGTATTTGACACTTCCACACACACCTTGTCACCGACCTTCACTTGCAAGGGTGGAGCTACTTTCCGCTTCCTTCTTAGACGCTTCTTCCTTCGCTTAGTCGGGTAGCGTACCCCATGGGACAGACCAGAGTCATGTTTAAGAGCACCCGCAATATTTGCGCCTTTTACTTTTGGTATAACAACTTCAAGACCATCCGAATCTTCATCTGCATCTGCATCTGCTTCTGCGGAATCAGAGCCGGTGGTATGAGGCTGCTCGTCATGCGTATCCACCTGATTAGCTCCACTCTGAGCTAATCCTGTTTCAGAAGCCTGACAGGCAGAAGGGTCTTTCGTAATTGAGGATGTTTCTGTGGGCGCAGGAAGATTGGAGTCGCATAAAGAAGTTACCGACGTCGATGAACTAGAGTTTTTGGATTCACTTTCAGCTGAATAGAAACTCCCTGAACTCCCTCCAGAGCTCAAACTCGCACTGGCACCTGTTGTTGTCCTCTCCTGAGAATCACCTAATTCTGCTTTTCCACTATTAGAGGTCTCTTGCTTATGTACACTACACCCGTCTATCTGACTGTCGGATACTGGATTGGTAGGCGCACGCTCGCTGAGCACCTCAAGTCCCTCCGTATTCTCATCATCAAAGCTTTCCTGTTTGGATGAAAAGTTCCCTCCACTCGCGGCAAGTCTTAGATCGCGAGCTTTCAATGTATAGAATGCTTTATCCCCAATCTGAACGCTTGCATGTCGAAAACGGTTCGCAACGAGCAGCCTGAAAAACAAATTTATGACAAGATAAGAGTCGAAATTGACTGTAGGTACGTCTGGTCCACAGCCAATCCCAAAGAAGAGAAAAGAAAAGGAAGGAACAGTAAATTCCCTTAACATATATACATGGTATCTTTGGAGAAGAGACAAAACTAGTTCCAAAATTGGCGATTAACTTATTTCAGACCAACTCATTTCCCCTCAGAGTCAATTACCTAACATCACAAAGCAGATAACTCGTACACAAAGAAACCCAGACTAGAAGGAATATAGTACTGCAGTGTATTGCAGTACAGACCTGGGTAAAGATGACCCTGATTTCAGATCTGAAAGCTTAAAAAGAAAATTCAGGATAATTCCCTTGGTCTACAATTTGATGATTGGATGCTCAAAGAAGAAAAGAAAAATTACCCCAAAACCGCTTTTGAACCAAGGAATAAAGAAACCCAAATTAAAATTTAACCTTAGGTTGGTGTCAATCGGCCTTTCCACAACTAGGCCCAGAACGATCACTAACCTGTGAAGTTGTTCCTGTGTTACTGTGGGATCAGGTGGTTTAAGACATTCATCTTCTTGGGAATTATTTTGGCAGGCACCACAGATCTGCCAGTCTACATCACACGCAATAATACTTGCCTGATGTTAATAAAAATAAAATAAAATTAGATCACACCCCTTAAATTGGACTACAGGTCTACTTGCAGAAAACCATGAACATGAGACATGTTTCTGAAATGTTTTAGTGTCTAATGCAATTGCAAAAAATAATGCCAATTTGTTTGTTGTTTTGTGGTTTACTTACCATCCTCATCCCTTAAGTAATTGGCAACAACAGAAAAGACATGCCCAACACATTTCAGGTGTTCATGGTTTTCTAAGTTTAACAACAACACTACAAACGTTTTTTCAAATTATACAAAGCTCTGATTTTTCCAACAGGGCCCAGTTGTATAAAGGTCGGATAACGTTATCCAGTGGATAAGTGATAACAAAACGTCTAGCATTATCCACCGTATAGAGTTTTATCCAGTGGATAGTGTTATCCAACCTTCAAACAACCAGGGCCAGAAGAAGACAAATTTTAAGAGCGGGAAAAAGTTTTGGTTCTGCTGACCTCCTCCACAGTTCCTTTGATCTGGGCTTGATTGTGAATGACAGGCTTCACTCCTGATAGCCATTTAGCTTCTTTAAATGCTCGTGAAGGACCAGCAACCTTCTGGCCCGGATAAAATGATGCAGAATAGAAAGGGGAATCCTAAAAACATGAAACAAGATGCAAAGTAATCAGCAGGGAAAGGGAAGAATGAACATTTCAAAGAACAAGTGCAATGTTTAGGACAGTACAAAGGGTCATATTCCATGCTCCAAACATTGCTTTTACCAGTCCATTTGTATGACTGACAGTAATATTGATGGTACAATAAATTATTTATACATGTTAAAGTATTTTTAAGTCATGGTGTTGATGTTGTAGTTTGAAATGAACTTAGGCTACCAGTAAGTGATTTTTATTTGGTTTAAATTATATTTTCTTTTGTTTCCATTAAATCTATGCACAAGCAGTTCTACAACACTTGTCTCAGCCTGCTACATTTAATCAAATGTATGTAATGAGCTTAATTGCACCCTGTAAAAAAAAATTATGGTACACAATAAATTAAATATCATTATTAGAGCATACTTGAAATTAAAACCAAACCAAATTATCCTTCATGAGTTCATTTCATTACACAAATAATAAGGACCTTAAGTAGTCACGACTGAAACACTATGGAAAAAAAGATTTAAAAACTGGATTTGTATTTTCTTCACACAAATTTTAAAGATTTCATTTGATTGTTTTGGACTGAAGTGCTAGGAAAAGTGCAAAATCTTAACACAAATGCGCTGAGCAGTTGGTCAGCTTGTCAATCTTTTGTTTGGCCCCAATCCCACTGTCACCATCATGGTTTGCATAGGGTCACTGAAATTGAGTTACCTCATCACGTTGATCACTTGTGTCATAAATCATTGAAGCCTGCTCTCCTTCCAAACTGCACCTGTATTTCACACACAATTTTTGAATTTGTAAATTGAATAGTTTACTCACTATCAATGGTGTATTGTAGAAGAAAAATAAGCAGTTGGTGGACTTTTTACTTCCCAAAACTATACAACAGTCAGATGTATTACACTATTGTACATTGTGCAGGGCCCAGTCAATCAAAGGGTGAATATGGCTATCCAATGGTTAAATCTCTATCCAGTGGATAAATGTAAACAAAACATACTGTGCTAACCATAGACATTTATCCACTGGATAACATTATCCACACCACAAACAACCAGGGCACATGATGTACTGGACCCTGAGAAATAAAACATTGACTAATATCTGTCATATGCATTGTACAATTGAAATGGAAGCAGCTATAAAAGTGGCATGTTTTAAACTGGATTTTCACTGTATCAAACATGTGTTATACAAAATATCATGCGCACTCCTGAAAACTATCAAAGCACACAGATGCTGGTAATATGTAGGATCCTCATTTGCCTTACAACTCCTCCATAGAGCAATATAACTAATAAGATACTTCAAAGCAAGCACAAATGCACCTGGAGCCATTCTTGATTCTTAGTACAACCTTGCGATAAACCTCAGTGACTATTCCAAGCCAAGGGCCCAGGCTCACAGGTAATCCAGGAACAAACTCCTACATAGAAAAAAGTGTAAGATCTAGCATTCACTAAAGGTAATCACAGTACATTTCAAAATTTGTACCTGATGGAGCAGTCATTACTTTTAATTTGTACATACAATTGAGAGTAACTTCCAATGGAATAACTGAAGAAATCCATTGATTTTGCACCAGAATGGCCTGTAATTGTCTGGGATATTAAACTAATACCCCATTCACACCAAAGCTTAAACATGTTTTAAAGTTGTTTTGTTAAACACAGTTTAATTTTTTTCTTCTTAGAAACTACTGAACCTAATATTTTTTACTTAAATGCAGCACATTATAAATGCAAGTTAGCAAGTACTTGAATCCTATGGAAAATTAAGTTTTTCAGTTCTCTATTTATGATTTTCAATCAGTAAAAACCAGTTTCACAAAACATGTTTTGCTGGTGTGAATAGGGTATAAGCCTCTTGACCAATCAGACACAATGAGAAAACCACTTGCCACCTTGTCATCCATGTTTTCTTGTTCTTCAGGGTGTTTACTTGTTTTTTTTACTTAAAGTCCTGAATGGCTTCCTGTTCCATTTTCCATCACTCTTATTGAACTTACTTTGGTTTTAGTTTTATGACAGAATAGCTTGATGGTCCGAGATTCAATTCCTCATGAAGACTCAGAGTTTTTTATTTGTCCCATGCTCCTAGTAGTATACAGGACGCTTACAAGTCAAATAAACTTCATAGTAGACCTCACTTACCATAGAGTCTCTGTGGCTCTGTGGTAAAGCATCAGAGTGCTGAATCTGAAGGTCTGAGGTTTGATTCCTCATGGGGACTCAGAATTTTTTCTTTATCCCATGTTTGTGACAAGACAAAAAACATCTTTCTATAGCTTGACAAATTGTTTCTTAGTTTTCATGTTGATGAATCCCATGAAGGAAATCACCACTTACTGACACTCCAGGGTCTGATACACCTTTCAGAGCTAACCCAGAAAAGTATGGTAAATTTATTAGCTCCTAGAACCATCATTACAAAAAAGGGAGTTGTCCAACAACCCTGAAGATAAGCATGAGACAACCTGTGGGGACCACATAGAGCACTCCACTTATCAATCTATGTGTTGGAAACTTTGATAGTTTTGATTGGGTGAGTCAATTTCCTTGTGCAAAAGACACAACCTATACATGTGTTTTAAACTAATAATTGGACACATTTTACAAATACCTGTAAGGGAGAAAGTTCTTTACAGTCCACATTATGAAAATTCTGGTTAGCCACCAGAACATTGACACTGGCAACAACTTCAACATTGCAGACGAATCCTTTCTGGGTTCCTTTCTGCACATCAGAAAACTTAACAACATCACCTGGAAGGAGAGACCTGTCTGCTAGTTTGACCTGAAAAACATATCAAAGCTTATTGATCTCCATAATGAACAATAAACAATTCAAGGTAATTAGCTATACAAGGATGCCCCACATGAAGAGCCACATGTTCCATTTTTGGACTAGAGGTAAACAGAAGGGCAGGAATTTCTTCAAACAGAAAAAGAACTAAGAGAACTACCATTGACACATCCAAAAGGGAGCAATAGCTCACATGAAGGTGAACAAGATAAACACTTGAAAAAGTAAAGTTCCCTATTTTTGATCCTTATGATGCTCCGAGAATGAAGTGCAAAACAATTGCTATCTGAAAGCACAACCATTTTCTAGGTGAGGGGTATGAAAAAGGATACCTTTTCAGTTAATGATAGTTCATGCATGTAGTAATAAAAGGTTACGAGGTTTGAACTGAATGCAGACCCTCCCTCTGTACCTAACTATAATGGACGAACAGTTCCTCCCACAAGTGTCAGAGTGTGAGCTCTATAATCCAAGAAATTCTTCCCCTTCAGCCACCAAACTGATTTTTAACATAGTCAGCAAGATTCTGATCATTTCACTTATTCATTGACCTAACCATTTAATAATGTTAAAAACAAGACCCTATACAATAACAAGTCTCTTAACATTTACAACAAGAGTTGAAAAAAAGATATTAAACCAGAAAACATGTAAATCTGCATAGCTTACATTGTGTGAATTTTAGTGGTTAATAATGTTTTAAAAAATTAGGCACGAGAGTAACGATTTGGAAAGGTGTGGGCGATTTATAATGTACACAGTGAAGAAAAAAGTTTGCCTTTTATGTTTTGTTCCAAAAATAAATTTAAAAAAGTCGATTAAACGAGTGGTGTGCAATATCGAAATGAAGTACCTTGTATTTGTTCAGGTGTTCGACAAGCAAGGCGGAAAAACCCAGGCATAACCTTATCAAATCGGAAATACTTTTTAAACAAATTCATCCTCACGAAAGGTATGGAGCACATGAAAAAAAGGGAGCAAACTCTAAATATTCTGTAAATCGAGGAAGTTGTTAATATTTTAGCTCATCCTTTAACACGTTTCAAAACAATATCGCAATACAAAGATAAGTGCCTTTACTTACAATTTAGAAATTATCTCCCTAAAGGCCGGAGCCGTATCAATTGCGATTACGTCAAAAGGTTTAAAAATCGGTCTCATTAGGTAAGAATGATTGAAAAAAAAACAGCGAAATAGCACTCAAGTACGGCAAAAGTTCTACTAAAACGTGAAGAACTGAAAGATTAAATAAAAAATTACCTTAGTAAGCGACAAGGTTTCTTCGTTCCCTGAAGGGTACCAACACACTACGATGTGACCCTTCTTGAGCGCCTCTTCTTCGCTGTCCGATTCATCAGATGTTTCTTCTGCATCTTCCAAAACAAGCCCAACAATTCCTTGAGAATTTTTGACAATATCCTCCGCGTAAATGCCGGTTGTTTCCGCCATGTCAGTTTGCAAGTGGACGAGTGGCCAAGCCTTAGCATAGGTAACCAGGCTTCAAAGAAAATTGGCTGAATAGGACTGGATGTGAATGTGGCTACACCGTAGTTGCATTGAAATCTGAACATTTACAAATAAAACCCAAGTCAAACTAAAATTATTTTTAAGTCTCCCACAAATTGAGGCAGTAAATGGCAATTGTACTGTATAACATAATTTATATTATAGCATAAGGAACTTTTTTCCTCAGTTTACAAAGATATTCCATGTTATAACCTTCTCATTAAATTTCGCGCGACTCTATCGGCTATTTAACGTCACGTGGTACAAAATCACCGGACAGTTATCACACAAGAACCCCCGTTTACTTGGATATTTGCCTCAAAATTTCACATTTGCCCTTGAAGCTTCGCTTCTCAGCCAAATATTCATTTTTCGGACGGCATCTCAGTCACGGACATTATCAGACGACCTACCAACCGCTTGAAGGGGCTTATTGACTAAATAAACCAGAAAAAAAATAGGACAGAGTAAGGGTGCTGTTTAAGTACCCCTGAAGAAAATGTACGATTTCATATTCTTCAAAAATATTAAGAGTTCGAGAAAGATGATGAATCATTGTGCATTGTTTGATTGTAATAAATAATGAAACTGAGAATATTGTGCTTGAATTCCTCACGTTTCCGTTAAATACTATGGAAACTAAAAAAAACACGTACAAATTTTACTTAGCGTCAAAAAATATCGTGCCTTTAGACACATCGTAAAGTAAATAATGACTCGATGCATGTTTAACGAGGATGCTGCAGAACTAATTCATGGTAAGTAGGCCCGAAATCTTTGTCTTGAATAAAAATTTATATTATAAAGAACGATAGCTGAATTTTTTTATTGACTGCCGTCATTTCCCGGCGCATTAAAAACAAAGAGAAATCCTTATAAGAAAGGTAATGGAATTGGTTTTAGGGATGTTTCTCTACAGTACATTTATTTGTCTTTCATAGCATTGTCTTTTGATCACTCAAGTAATAAAAACAATGATCCCATTTGACTGAAAAAAAAAAACTTAGAACACCTGTATGGATTTAGACTTTATTAATAGAGCTACATGCAAGCAGCCACAGCAGTGGGAAGTTGTAGCAACCGCAAACTGAAGGTGAGTTTCGCGATCTCATCAAGAAAGGACCGCAATCTATGTACTAAACAGCATCTTATTGAGATTCGATAGGTAGCGTGAGTCTCGATTTTAGAGTCTGAAAATGAAAATTGTATGAAAGGATCTAAACTCTCGAACAAGCGCCTTGAGTGAGGCGGGAAATAACTTGTTCCTGTTTTTTCTAGAGTTTAATTGAAGAACGCAAGGAAGTGGCAAGGACATTCGTCTTCTATCGCACAAGAAGTTTGGCTTTGAATCCCGCACCTGCAGGCAAAGGCACCTGATTGAAAAGTAAGTTTTCCAATAATTTGTTTCCGTCGTCGCTCCGAGGGTTTTTCATGTCCATTTTAATGGGTTTTTGTTCCTGTGCAAAAACGAGCACGCAACTTTCAAATTGGGCTCTACTGTAAATCCTGAGCATTAAAAACGAGTTTTTAAACTCTTGGCTTCCCGTGGGTAAGCACATAAACAATTATCTTTTCTTTTTATTCATTTTTTAATTTCTCCATGAAAATCCAGTTCTACTATGTTATACAACCTTGTCTAACAGACTTCCTTAGTGCCATTGGGTGGTACCTGAATTTTGCGAGTAAAATACATCAAACACAACCTAATAGAAACGGTCGCATGACTTTGGCAACAAACGGCAAACGTCAAACGTCAAAAAATTGAAATTCTTTAGTGTTGCTGTCAGTCGTTTGCACTCCAAAGTCGTGATTAAACTCAGTACTGCAGCGTTCACTGTGAGAGCAGGCTGTGAGAGACTTGTTCACTGGTCTTATATTGACTTAAATTTCGTGCCCTTCTCTACTTAAGTCAGAAAAGTTTTGATTGTGAATAAGAGAGATATTGCTACTGAAGCTGTCATTGGTTAAGTAAATTTAAGACCCATACAAAGAAAAAATTAATTACAACAGAACATCCGTTAAAAAAAAAAAAGATAAATGGGCAAGCACAAAGTATAACATACAGAGATGACACATTTCGTGCATACTGGCCCGATAGATAATACATAAGCCTTTATTAAGCTGAGTGGGCCATGCAACGAGATCATGAGCTCAATATTGCCAAATTTACCTTAACAGCAGAGACTTGAAGATGCCATGTTATATAATGTGTAAACTTGCTCCTTTTTCGACAATGATGGACGCTTCATATCACTTTTCTGACATTTTCTGTCCTCTCGAGCAAACATGACTTATTTCAACGCATAAGTCATGTAATCAAGAGAGATGTAAAAACTAATTGAAAGTTGTGATAAAAACAGTCGTTCACGGGCAACAAAGATGTTGACGAAAGAATCTAATCCGAAACTCCATTAAAATTTTTCCTGAGCGTTTTAGTTTTTAAGGAAATTAATCCACCAACAGATTCGTGGCACTAAGAAATTTAAAAGAATGGTTTTTACACTTGTGAAAGAATATCAATCGTTTTATCATTAAAACTTATAATTCGAGTCCACAACCGGTGGGAAGTGAGAAATGACTGCATGAACATGTAACTTCAGTGTTACCGAACTTCTTAAGTATCCATGGCAAATCTGAGTTCAATTGTTTATGGCTATAACTGTGATATCAAATTTATGCCAAATGGCTATGAATTTCAAATTATTCCTGCACTAAATTAATTAGATTGGTTGTAATGGCCTCAAACGACAGCTTAGAAAGACGGAAAAGAGACTAGTTTTGAGAAATTAAGATATAACTCCTTGAGTAAAAATCATTCTTCATTGTATAAGTTGCGGTTCACTTTTACAGGTAGGTACCGTTGTACTGAATATAATCAGGAATGTGTTTTAACCTAAACAACTTTAGTCTTGGGTTATTTCAGTCAAACTCAAGGTAAATGATCGATTCCAAAAAGAAACTTGTTTACAATTCATAACATTACTACCCGACCATGATTCAGATTGAACCTGAAAATAATCTGTAACAAATACTCAAGTAATTGTCATTGGCCTTTAAAGTGATGTGTTGACTCGAGAGAACTAAATGAAACGTGACGTTTAAAAAAAGTGATCACATTCATTGCGAAAGGCCTAATAATGATTTATCTTTCGACCACAGAAATGTTTTCAAGGCAAGACCAACCCTACTACGATCATAGAAATTTCTAACTTGACTGATGGAGAATCACTTTGTCATGATTCTGGGAATATCTCAAATTAAAGTCGATGCAAATGGAAGTTTCTAGCAGACATAGCGGAATTCACATCGGATGGACCTGAGAATTAGTGAGGACGAAAAAAACAGTTTCTAAATGGAAACTAGGGTAGTTGACCAAAGTCATTTTAAGATAATTCCAACTGATAAATAAGAAATTTGTTGTTACAGTCTAAAATGATTAGAATTGCGGTTGCTTCGGCGCTGAAGGAAAAATAGCTCACGGTACCCTTCAAGTTAGGAAAGAAGTCATTCTTTTACTCCTTTAACCCTTTAATTGCAATAAGTGACCAAGAAAGAATTTCTCCCTAGAATATCAATACAATATCAAGACAGCATGAGAGAAATCATTTCAGTTGATATTAAGAATTAATGAATCTGTGTTCCTGATTTCGAAATCACTTAAACATCTGTTAAAATGCTGAGCAATTGTTCGATCTTTGAAATCATTGCAACTTTAAATTCAAGTTTTTTCTGAATCAAAAAATTTCTGGGAGCTTATTGTCATGATTATACTTGGTATAAATCGTAAGAGAGTAAACACCTCTCCTCCTGGATTGACATTTCGTCAGGTTAAATAAAGAAATCAATACTTTGTTTTGATTTTCTTTAATTTCAGCAAACAAAATTCTGTTATTTATGGCAACACAACCTCGGAACAAAGAACCAGGCCATTAACAATTCGATTACGTTAGTCAATAGGAAGCTTGTGCAAATCAGGTTGAAATAGAGAAATTAATACTTTGTACTGATTTTCTTTGATTTCAGCAAACAAAATGCTGTTTATTCAAAATATCGAAACAAAGAACCAGATCATTAACAATTCGATTGGGTCGGTCAATAGTTAGCATGTATGAATTCAAGTATACTCTGCGATAGTATGGAGCGACAGGTCGGAAGCAAACTGAGAAGTAATTAGTTAAAAAAATGCGCTTCTTCGATGTGTTCAGCAAATTCGGCGGTAAGTTCCTAGTGCATACTTCACCGAAGTAAACACAAGCTTCATTGTTACTAAAAGAAAGGCTTGTTAATCATTCGCTAACGTGCCTTTCTCTTTATATATCTGAGGGTGATCCAAGATTCCTAAAAGTAATCGGTTGAAATCAAACTAAGATTGCACAATAACAAGAAAAGCATTAACACCTCCGGGTTCTAAAAAGATTAGAAATCTGCGAAAATCGTTTTTAAACTACTGCTTAATCACAGCTCTTTATCTCTTGCAAAATTTATACACTTTTCTTAATTCATCATTTATGGATTAACGCGCTCAAAACACGGTTTAAAATCAAATGACGTCCGTAGCCGCCCAACATTACTGTGCAAATTGTCGCACTGTTGATGGACAAAACCGAATATTAGCTCAGTTTCCTAGCTGTGAACGTGAAGTTTAGAAAATTTCAATTAACGTTCCCTTGTCATAGATGGAAAAAATAATTAAATTTCTCTGTTCTGATCTTGATGAAAATTAAATTATGAAAAGATTCAGATATCCTCGCCGTCGCTTTAGCATGCCTCCTTTTTCCTAGCAGGAAAATCGCACGATAAAAAATTTTTACGCTCAGAACCTATCAAAGGTAAGTTCTGCTGAAAACAAACGTAAAATGTAACGCATTAAATCGGCAACAACTCCAAATCAAAAATGTGTTATTCCTTAAATCTCAATCAAAGTTTTTCGAAAACTCCAGAAATTTCCTGACCAGAATAGATTGTAGAGAAAGGAAGCAGTTGATTTTTTTTTTAAAAAGAACTGTGAATTGATTTGCATAATTTTCCTCCCAAAGTCAGTTTTCGTAATTTCCTCTGATCTAAGAAATAACAATTTTGTTCAGATTGCTTTTTCACTGCCAATTAAGCGTGAACATAAAGCCAGTGAGAATGACAAACAGTTTAAACAGTTCAAACAACCGTCTTTCCAAAAGAAACTTTATTATTTTGTCAGATCAATTTTCAGCTTTTCTTTTAATACTTCAAATTGAATATTACTTCTGTTTAGAACAACATTTGACATCAGTAACATTGCAATCCGATTGGATCTCGACGAAGGGTATTTATAAGTATCGTATTTTTCGTGACACATTATAGTATTGAATTCTGCTGTGATTAATGAATTTCTGACTTCAACATTTGTACTTTGATTGATAAAGGTAATTGCTGGTCTATTCTTTACACCTTTTCACAATCGTAGGTAATTGATTAGATGAAGACTGGATGAAAAGATAACAATACATACAACGTTGAAAACATTTCACTTAAAAACCGCCTGACGACGGCGCCGCATAGATTGCAACAGAGGAGAAACACCGACGCTTGGACAAAGATGTGTGTTCGCAGTTTAAGTTTTCTTTTTACAAGCTTTCACGTCTTTCATCAGGTAAGCCGCCCAGTTCTAATCATGCCACAAAAATGCTCGCATTATTTAAATAACTATTCTCTAAAATGACATTCATAACAAGAATCAAAGGCGAAACGTTCCACGGGTATGACTTTCCTTTTCAGAGTACAAGTTTCCGCGGTCTCGATTATTTGAATTCGCTTCGCTTCGTGTGACATTGTAAAAAAGTTTGTCGGTGTGGTCAGTTTTATTCCTATTCTAAATTGAAGAATTATAATTTAAGTTTTGCCTTGATTATACTTCAGAGTTGACCGATTTATGGTAAACTTGCAATAATAAAGATATTTTGACTCGTGACACGAAAGTTCTTATCCTGGGACTGATAAATTCCAATTTTGTTTCTATCCCCTTGATTCATTCAAGTGCTTTTAGGGTTACGTCATTTTTACGATTGCTTCAAAAATAAAAGGTTCCTCGAAGTTGATTTGCCAAATTTTTAAACCAAGCCATAGACTTTTCCGTAAAGTTTCATGAATTCATCCAATACAGTACTCATTTCCTATCGCGACTACGACTATGTAAGATAAAGTTAGATCGAAGCTTGCAGGCCACGAGATAAGGACGAATTGAGTCTAATGTTTTGGTTCGAGTTTGAGAGAAACTTTAGACGCGCAATATCCCAATAACTGAAGAAGCATTTCTCAAGTCTTTTACGTAATGAACTGGAGGAAAAGTCCAAGATTTAGGTCACCCCTGTAAGGATATTGCTTGATTTATAACAATCTCAATATGTCATAATTTGGCACAGTTCGCTGTTCAATCGTGGTGGGATATAATTCTCCAGATATATTTACTGGTAAGGTTTCAGAGGATTGTTAATTCGTCGAAATTATTCGATAGTTACACTACAAAAAACAAGTGGAATTTTCAAAAGGTTAGAGTTCATAGGAATGACTTATTTTAATCTGCCAATGGAAAGGTGAGTATTTAATGTTACGAAAGCATGTACGATTTGTCGAACAATGCTAACTCAGAGAGTGGGTTTGGATACTAACTGTCAGTTCTTTTGACCAGTACAATCGACATTTTTGGCGGATTTACCAGACAAGAGCTTGCTGAAATAATAGTTGACGATAGAATTGTGTTCATGTCGATGTTGGTGAGAAGAAAGCCCGCAAATGATTCTCAGCATTTCGCTTTCGATCTTTTATTTCGAGATGACAAGACCATTACGCGTGTACCGCAATGACTGATTCCGATTGCGTTTTTTGTTCTTTTTTCTTGTCATTCTGTCAAATTTAAAAAAAACCCTTTACTTAGCATGATGTTAAGAAATAACTGAAATACTACGGGTGACCATATTGGTCAAAACCTTTCGTTCATTGAACTGGTAAACTTGAAACTGTTTGACTAGAACAATAATTTATATTCTGTTTACTTACGTAATAACTCAGGCGGAAGCTTAGGAGGCTTTGTGAATCAAGAGCCGAAGGCGGGGACAAGTTCGGTTCAATAAACATTGTAATGAAAAATATTGTTCCCAAATTGTGTTCTAGAAAACAAACAGGCTTTGTTATATTGTTATTAATTTGCTGAAAGGTCTAGACAAGTTCAAATTTGTCGTAAACATTCATGATTTACATTTAAGTTTTTGAAAATATTTTTTTCTTTTTTTGTCCAAAATTGTGTAAAACACCTCTGTAATAGCTCATTGATGATTTTGTCTTTAGGAACTAATTTTTACGAGAAGTTAGAAAATCAACAGAAGTTGTTGATTCTGGTACATTGAGAATTCAAATGAAAAAGGCCTTTTGTGGGTAATTTTTATAGTTTTAGTCTGTAAATATTTTACAGTTCGAACGAATCCTGCAATTTCTTCCATAAAATTGTCGGCGTTTTAGAATTTGTCCCAACAAGACTAAAATAAAGTACTCAATATTGCATGAAGCTTTTCAAAACTTGTGTCACTTAAAGATTCTGTTTATTGTTGTCAATCGACTCAACCTCAGAAACAACGCTATTGAAAACGTACCTGACTTATAATAACTGAATCGAAGAAAAATATAAAAGGGACAAAAGCTAATTTAGTAATGAAATATTCGAGTCGTTTTCCTCTTTATTCTGGAATCATCTTATCACAAATTTTATAAGCCATTTTTTAATTTGGAGAGTCGTTAAATCCACGCCGAAGACATTTTCTCCGTAATTACTTGTGTCACTCCACTGTTTAACAAGTGGAAACTTGACGCAGCAAGAAAATTGCTTGTAATCACCATCCGAAATTCTATGAATAGCCTTGTTTTCAATCACATTACCTCATTATGACATTTGAAAGAATTTGCTGGAACTTTTTCCGAGCGCACGTTCAAATTTTATGGTACATTAGCTTTATGATACTGTTCTGCGTTATTTTTTTTTTAATTAAAATTGAATAATTATAAATGTTCGAGTTAAAATGCCCAATTTCACTCCCAAGCCTAGCTTTCGAGGTGCGACCTGATTAGTTTTACAGAAAAGTGTTCACCATACACTGAAATCAAAAGAATGTTGACGCATAAACACAAGGAAGTGGCAAAGATTCATAAAAATTTCAGGGAAAACGTAGACTACGAGCAGTTACTCCTTTTCGGCGAGGTCCGTAGCGCTAGCCAAAAAAAATCAGTGTTAAAAATATTGATGTTAAGGCCTATTTACACGATACGACTTTGTCGCATGCGACGAGCTTACGACAGGCCTACGACATGACTTAGGACAATTTACACGCGCACGACATTTTCACCTACGACATGCCAAAATCGCGTACAATTCCACTCGTTTCGGCCGCGGTCATTGTTTCAATAATTTGCAAGAGAAGGAAAAGAACCTCTTCCTCGCTCCACAGTGATATCATATTCTCTGTTTCCTCATCTGAGAATGTATTTTTCGCTTTGGAAGCAGTCTTCGACTTTTCGGAGGCGACTTCCTCCGCCATTTTGACGCAAGAAAATTTCACCTTCCTCCCCTACTCAGTAGAAATTTGTCACAAAATACGTCATTTTCTATCAATTTCGGCTACGATTGTCGCAGCGTTTTAAAACATGTTTTAAAATCCTACGACATTTTTCGTGACGTGCACGACAGTCGTAAGCGAGTGGTAGGTTTGATTTACACGATACAATTCGTGTCGTAGGCCTGTCGTAAGCTTGTCGCATGCGACAAAGTCGTACCGTGTAAATAGGCCTTTAGCGAGCTACGGGGAGCTCTTGGAGTGACGTTGATGAACCGCGAGACTCATTGAGCGAGGCAATCAAGAAGGGAAAAATTAATGTTCAGTGTTTTGTGGGATGTAAGCAAAAATTAATAAACGAGCCATATTTCACTGAGTGTCTTTTGAAATGCTTCTTTTTGTTACTTTTTGAAACAGATATTGAGTCTCCCATCAAATGAAACTATCAACTTACCACCAGAATCACCAGGTAAGTCACCATCTCCTTTTTTTGTTTTGTTGTTGTTGTTAATGTTGTTGCTTTTAGTTTGAAATTGTGATCGTTTCCCTTTTAGGTAATTTGCTCCTGGGTTGTTATGAAGAGCAAAACATTGAGTCGAACTTACAGAGACTCGATTCACCAACACCCTCGCCCTATAAGTGTATCGAGACGTGCGCGCATGCAAAATTTCCGCTGGCTGCAGTGCTCAAGGTCACGGAGTGTCACTGTGCAAACGACAGTGTTCTTCCAATGATCATGAAGTATCCTTGTAGCTCACCTGCCGCAGCGAGAAACTATCTACTTTACAATACCAGCTGCCTTTCTACAGTATCCGTTGAACTGTATCAGGGATTAACGTTCACAGCATTTCCATCCAAGATAACGCCATCAATCTCCTCTCCTGTCACTCAATCAAGTGTGACAGCAGCGCATTCACTGTCAAAATCACTGCTTTATCTCATTGATTTTGGAGATGGTACGAGTAACAAAACTTGGCTAGAGGGATCAACCCTGAGACACCATTACATCACTCCCGGCGAATTCAACATCACTTTCGTGGCTTCTCGTGGTAACTCGACAGTCTTCATGTTGTCACGCAAGATCCGGGTGTCCTTCCTTCGAGTATCTAGTACCTGGTGTCCGGACGTAGAACCACTCACTGATTTCTATTGTAAGGCATATAAATTCGGTGGAAGCGGCGTTACCGCATTGATGTCACTGGGCAACTTAAATCAAACTGTATCAATTTCAATCCCAGGTATGACTCGTAATGGTTTACATGACAAAATACACTTAAAAACACGAAACACAACTTAGCAGCCTAAATACCCGGGTGTGGGACCAAATATCAGTGGCAAACATAGCAATTCGAGGTAACTGATTGATTTTCCTCAAATATTGCATAGCCTCATATACTAAATTTCCAAAAGCTGAGACAAACTTTGAAAGTCATGTGGGTTCTATGAGCGGAACATTATTTAAAGGAAAAAAAAACAAGAAAACGTTAGTCATGAATAGACAAGTTTAATTTTATTACTAATATGGTAAATTACCATTTGCTGGTTTTCTTCTAGACGTGCCACCAGTAATTTTAGGACATACGGGACCTTCCCTGACCAACCAATCGGATGCCAAGAAAAGAGAAGCTGGCCTGTATTTATTCCCATCTCTTCATTTTCTATCGAACATAGAAGTAGAGGCTTGGGAGGTACATGCTGAGCAGCCTGGTCTCATCCATTTACAGGTTAGCTCTCGATCAGTTAAGTAAGTGCTTTTTAGTTTAAAAGCTCTTACTTGTTAAGTTGTTTCTATCGGCTTGTTTTGTTGCACTTGTCATTTTTTTCAATGCACATTTCACCGCAATCCTCAACGGTTACTTCTTTACTTAGATTTACAGGGCGGCATTGAACCTTACGGGCTGTTCATGGTACCGACGAACTCAATCATCCTGCGGGAAATGGGCCCCAACTAGCGATCACTGCAATACGGTGTGCATCGATGTACATTACTGGCAGTATAGATCCATCATGCCTTGCAGGCAAAGACGTAGCAGTTATATTAAAGTGTACAGTGTGAAAGCCAATCTTACGGTGGGTTATAACTTGATTGTTATACCAAAGGAACAAAGGTTTACTGCACGGGTAGGAGACATTGTGGGCTTCTACAGAAATTTGTCAGGAGCTGTGCTGCGACGAATTGCCGCTGAGCAAGATGAAAGTGTTTATTTTATTCCAGCGCGGAATATGTCTAATGTTTCCATACATCTTTCAGGAGCCCAGCCTATGAAGCTATCTTTTGATATAAAATTGCACGGCTCACTTGGCGTGGGAGTTTCGATCGTTTTTTCATGTTTAGAAAAGGCTGGACTCTATCCTCTAATAACGACTTTTACCAACGCTATCAGCTCCCATAGAGTGATAACGTTCCGATCTTCAATTACGGTTCAAAACCCAGTGGCACCTTTGCGCCTGTTATATGAAGAGTTCATTGAAGTAAATACCACGAAAAACATTACCGCGACGGTGGAAGAAGGCACAAATGTAACGTGTGAATGGTACATTCCTAACTCAAGTTTGACGGTACATCAGTCTCCTTATCTTAAAAACAACAAAACCACCGAGGGAGGAGTTTTCCAGTACATTGCTTTGTACAGCTATCTTGGATATGTTTACGTAAAAGTGACTGCATCTAATCTTGTCTCTCAAAAGAGTGAAGATATCATTCTTTCTGTGCGTCAGCCGATAAAAGGTTTGAGAGCGAGCTTGTGTCATGCTGCGTTTGCGTTTGAAAAAGCGGAAACGTGTTTTGTTTCCGACGCGACGCAAGGTACTGAAGTCGGATGCACGTGGGAATTTGGGCCAGATGATTACACCGCGAGGGAGATGGGTAAAACTGTCAGTCGTGTATTCACGTCAGAAAGCCAAACGAATTTTACTCTGCACTGCTATAATAAGATCTCACGGTCGTCTGTCCCTCACTCTATTCAAGTTGTTCCAAATCCATTGTCCATTAACGCCCCTATGAACGTCCAAGCTGGTGTTCCCGTGAAAATAACTTGTCAAGTGAATTGGCCCGGGGGGATACCAGCCTTATTCTTTGAGCAACAGGGGGTGAAGGGGATGAGGGGAAGTGACATTGTGGCAGATCCTCTGTTAACACTGATGGCGTCTGGGTACAGCAACAGCAGCAAAGGCAATGTGACAATGTTTCAAAGTTTTAGCAGAGCTCCATACAGACGACACAAAATAACGTGCAAATCTGTTGATTATCCTGACTTGAACATTGATCACGAATTGAAGGCAATTTACAGTGTAAAAGGAATAAACATCTCTTCGGACTGTGCTTTACAAGCCGAGATCGGAACGAAATGCGTATTTTACGTTCAACTCTTTCGCGGTGATTTTCCGGTATTTACTTGGAAAATCCGAGAATCTGACAATTATTCAACTGTCTCTGTCTATAAAGGAAAGAAAATCACCCATCGCTTTGTCAACACAGGAATCGCAAACATTACCGTTAACGCGAGTAATGATGTGTCCTTCCGCACAAAAACAGTCCAAGTCTTTGTGTATCCAACCCACACGCACAGTACAACTGTGACTGAGTCGCCCCCTCTTCCTGTCTATCAGTCGTCCACACTTTCAACAACCACATCACTTTTACTTCCGAGCTTTAACAGCGTTATTTCTTCGTATTCAACCTACAGTGCAGAGGCAGTCACGTCCATAAGACCTAGTGTTACCGTTTATAAATCTTCATCGGTAGACCGACATCAGGTGACTTCGCTAGAGGATGTCACACTTCGTCACGCTTCTGTCGGTTTGGTTGGTCAGGCAATCGTCTTCTCTGTAGAACATTTTACAAATCCTCATCTTTTACACTTTATGTGGAACTGGGGTGATCGATCAAGCTCAGAAAAAGCTGGATCTACTTTATCGCACACCTTTCATCATCCGGGACAATACTTCATCACAGTGAATATTACCTCTGCGGTTGATCATGTGGTGTTAGCTGGTCACGTGAGCATCCAGCATCGCCTTAGTGATTTGCGTATCAGACACTTAGCTGTGATGTCATCCAACCTCTTGCTTTTGGAATTTGAAATTCTGCAAGGAGACAACGTCACATACTCGCTTGAATATGGCGATGATAGCGGTGAGAAAGTCATACATGCTATGAATTCATGGAATTTTCCTCAACAGGTTTCAAACATCGCCCAAGCGAGCTCGAAATTACTTCATTGTTATTCTCTGAAAAGGTTACGTCTCAAACTGAAATTCATCTTAAAAACGCTCATTGGCAAGTATGAACGTTATCGCCCTAGAAAAGCTATTACCATCATAATAAGGAGAGCTTTATATCACCAGGATATGCCAATAAATTTAAAAAAACCGAGAGTTCAAAGCAAGTTTTATGATTTGATAACCTAGCCGGGCTTTAAACTTTGACCTCTTACATACTCTTTTCTGCATTCGCAAAACACCTCGCCTGGCAGTTTGGTTCAACGTGGAGAAGGAAGAGACACTCACGTTCACACCTTTTAAGGATGATAACACATAAACAATTTATCATTTTATAACTTAAAAATTGTTATCTTTACTGATGTAAGAAATGATCAATATTCTGTTAAAAGAAACTTAGTCACACCAGATTTGTACTAACAAATACTATATGTTTTCTTCCAGAGAAGCAAGTGGGATTTTTACGAACGTTACCCAATTTTGTGACAGTAACTCACCAGTACAATGAGCGTGGCATCTATCGTTTGTCCATTACAGCCAACAGTGCTGTCGGCCCTAGTATTTCAGTGCAGCAGTCGGTTTACATCAGTGAACTACCGTGTATCATACATGAACTACGCATGCTTGGTGCTGGAGATAACAGCAGTCACTGTCCTGAGATTGAACAAGAGTACGCGTATTCACTTTACTCTTCTCTGAAAATAAACTGCTCGAAATACGAAGAACTAGAATATACGTGGAAGATAGACAATATATTTAACGATACCGTCACCAGGGTTGTCCCGTTATCGAGGGAAGTTCTGTCTTCGAGCGCACTCTTTCTCGAATCGCAATCACTCAGTAATGGTCTTTACAAATTTATCCTGTCAGTAACTGCAAAGCCTCATGGGATATCGAAATCTGTAATTGGATTTCTACGCGTGCGCATGCCGAAACTGCTGGCTGTCATAGACTGTGGGAGCAAAAGAGTTATGCCTTGGAATCAAGACATAATTTTGAATGCTTCGTCGTCACGTGACCCAAATGAGTTGTGCGACAGCCAAGGCAGAAGTGCTTTGTCATTTGAGTGGTTTTGTGACACCAATCGTAATGTCTCTTGTTTTAATGGATCAATTGATAACAGAGGGCCCGCTTTGGTGTTTCCACCGAAGTACCTTGATCTCAATAGAAAATATAGGTTTGTTGTTGTAGTAACCAAAGGATCCAGAAAGGCTGAGGCAACACAAAGCATAGAGGTTATGTCGGGCAATTTCCTTCCACTTTGCGTCAGGTCGGTGGCAAGTTGTCATGTGCTAATCATATTAAACTTAATCAGAAAAGCAATGGGCTTGAATTGATATAATGCTTTAGTTTGTGCATGTTCAACTAGCTGATCTTTCTATTCGCAACACTGTAAGACAACCGATTAGAAGTACTTAATCGTTAGCATTAATCGTTAAAGGGCTTCATTCTTAATCGATTCAATCCATGATTCCGAGGCTGGTTCAAAGTCGTGTGCACCAGAAAAAACCATGAACTGCATAAATAATGACGCCAGTTAAGATCCCAGTGCGATCCTGGGTGAGTTAAAATCTCAGACAAGATTTCAAAATGTTGCTTATTGTAAAATCCTTTCAGAAAACTTTTAGACTGTTCAGGGACGGCGGATTTAAGGAAGAGGGGACTTTTTCTCTCTTTCCCCACTTTTTACGAGGACGGCATTTTATTTTGTTTTGGTATAAGTTACATATGAAGTATAAAAAGGAAAAAAAACAGTCCCCCACAGATTATTCCCCGAGATCACGATAAAATTTTTAGGGGATGGATGGCCCCAGACACCCCCGACAAACTCGTGCCCCCTGCATTTGTTTTCAGGCCCCCCGAATTGAAAATTTACTTTGCCGTCCCTGCTGTTATGTACATTCTGCCTTTCCATAAAGCAGATTTCCCTCCCACTAGCGTCCAAGTTTGGCTTAATTCTTCATAATAATCTGACAAAACTCTTTACTCTCCTTACTGCTTCTTTTTCATGCAGATGCAAGGAAAATTGCGCACACAAGTTAGCGCCCTCCAAAGAATTGGTCCTTGATGGTGTTGGTTGTCAAGACGATACGAACACAGCCTGCATTTGGGAACTTTACGGACCTCCCCCAGCAACTGGACGGATTTCAAAACGTTCTGTAGGTGAACAGTTAATCAGCATTTCTTACGCAAAACAGTTCCAGCTGGATCCGAAAAACTTGATTCCGAACAGGATTTACACAATACTCTTCAACAACGACAACAGCGGCTTCTCGGCGCAGTATTCGGTAATAACCGACATGTTTCCGACTAATGGATCTTGTTTCGTGTCGCCTTCGGAAGGCCAAGTAATCGAGACACAGTTTATCATCAGTTGCGCGGGTTGGAGGGACGAAGACAGCCCTCTTCGGTACGAGTTTTTCCTCGGAAATCCCGAGCAAGGACCGATGCTGCTGTACTACGGGTGGATGCCGTATTCCAACGGATTGTTCCTACCCCCAGGATCTAAGGATAATAATCACAACGTGGATCTGTTCGTGAAAATTTCAGACGTTCTGGGATCTTACAGAATCGTTCCCCTTCAAGTGAAGGTGTGCAGTTATGTCGACCATATAGAAGTGGCTTTTAAAAAGACACTCTGTTACTTTGAATCAAGAGTCGAAAATCGTTTAACGTTTCGTTTTTCTACAGGTGACAGGTTTTGGTGCCGAGGCTGATTCTGTTAGCTCAATTCTGAAAGGAATTGTCTGCGGACCTGACTCTATGCTGGAGAAACTTCTCAAGGTCGGAGAATTCCAACAAGCGACACAGCTGATGACGACCGTCGTCACGGTTTTAAACGAGGTTTCTTCTCAAGAGCTAGCCTCTGATTCTGCCGACATAAATGACCGTGTGGAGGTTGGTACTGAAAACCTGTGTACACTCACACAAGCCTTGCACTCGAATTTAAGCTTGAATATGAATTTTGGATTCTGCAGTTTACTACTAAAGCAAGTGTGTTCATTTTGTATCGTGTCTATTTAGGTCCGAAGTACAGTGATCGCTAGACTTTCTCAGACGTGCTGTAGTAGTCCCCAGAGTATCCGACAAGCTTTAGATGGAATCCTTCAAGCCATTGGAGTAACCGCTGAACTATCACCTGAAGCTCTGGTGAGAAGCATTAATTTATGTCCGTATAAGCTTCCTTTTCCGCTCAAACGCTGCCAAAATTTCCCTTCAAAAATCAAACCAAGTTAAAAAAGGCTTAACGTAGGAAAGACGCAAAAGGGGTGAGCAGGTAGGGGAAGAAAGCATTGCCCAGTAACGCCGTTTTTGCGCGTAAGGGAAACCCTAGTCTCGAATAAACCCCTTCCATTCAAATATAGACTAAGCAACCAAAAAAAACATCAAAAAACGCTAAACTAACATTTCATCCATGCAGTATTAAGGAAACCGGGAAAATTTCTCTTAGTGATATAAGTCGGACGTGTAAGCATACGATTCCTATAGCAAACAGAAGTGGTATATTTGGCTAACTTAATTGAACATTAAAGCTTTAGAAGGCTGTTTTCACTGTCGCAATCAAGCGTAGCTTCGATGCAGATTCTCAAGCATTATAAGTTAAATTTTCAACCTCGCCCTTGATGGTGCACCTCATTGCATTTCTTTGATATCATTTTAAGGAGGATAGTGCAATTGTTCTCTCAAACATGGCAAAAGCATTGGTTATTAAATTCAAGAGCTTCCAAGCAGCAAACGAGACCCGGGAAATTATTCGAGGCTTGAGCATCATCTTGGAAGCGTCTGTGTCTACAAGCAATGAAGTAAAACGCCAACAGAATTCTGGTGAAATCAAAGACTGGATTGATGATAGCAATGAGGCAAGGAACAAAGACCACCAAGAAAAGGTAAGGCTTCTCTTATATTTTAACACCTTCCCCTTTTAAGTGTTCCCTAAAAAGTGATCAGAGCTATTTTCATTGTACATGTTGCATCAGTTTGCTTCAAGGCGCTCTGTGAATGATTCCTAACATTTACGAAATATTCACATGAAAGAAGAACAAATCTTACATAAATCAGGGCTTGGTTATGAGCGTTTTCCTGCGCTTGAGATCGGCCACTTGACCTTTTTACCTGTTCTTCCTTTGCATCTTGAGCGCTTCTTGGTTGAATGGAGCTAAACCCAAACTATAGAAGTCATAAAAGCAAATCAAACTAAAAGTTGGCATCAGGAAGAGCTAATGGGAACTCGAAGCAAAAATATTGTGAGCTTGTAATTTTTTTAAAGGGCACTACCACTTGAGCAAGGTGTTTTTTTAAAATACTACAAAACAATCCAGTTATAGGATATTGAAATTTTTTACTTCAGTGTGAACAAGCCACTAACAAGTCCCTAGAGGGTGTCAATTATGCTGCGCAAAAACTATTGGACTATCAACGCAAGGGAGATCCTCCGAGTCACGTGTCCTCAAGCTTGATGAAATTGACCCTTACTCGCCAGTCTCCTAGCGACATAAATGACGCGGCGCTGAACGGAGGAGAGGTCACTTTTCAAATTCCGCACGAAGTAAAGAAAGACAGACTTAGTTCTTTCAATGCAGTCAATACAAAGGTCAGTTTGAAAACCATTCAACACGATTCCTTTGAAATTATACAGGTGGTATAGGTGCACCTTACTTGAAACCAGCAGTTTGATTAATGTATTGGAACAGAGGAGATCGCGCAATCTGAACCGGTGAAAACCTCGAGGCTCAGTTATAACCGATTTTGATTTTGCACTTGAAAAGTTTATTGGAACATTGAAATTGTTCTTTGTGGGATTCAATTTGTAAGTAAGGTTTCTACAAGGGTGCGGCGGGGGGGGGGGAGGTGGGAATCATAGAGTAGATCTGATTCTCTTTGGCACGAAAAAGTTAATGATAATTTTGAGCCAAAATGAACCAACCAAATGCTATCAGATTCTAGTGTGGTTCCGATGTAAGCCATTCCTCCCCTTTTTTTTAGCAGTTTCTACCCTCTTCTATTAATCACTTTATCATTGTAGGTGATAACCATGTCCCAGACCCCGTTTATTTCAAACGACGCCACTCCTATTGATACACCAGTGTCAACACTTGAGCTTTTGGAGACTTCTGGAAAGGAAATCCAAATCCAGGATCTAACAGAGCCTGTGTCCATATTCCTGTCGCTAAACCAATCACAGATTAAAGATCGTAACAATATGAATGGTATCATTGATCCTGAAGAGAACATCACGTTCTTCAAGATCGATTCCGATAATAAAAGCGCACTTTACTTTACAATAAACTGTTCTGGGGTCACGAGCGGCTACAAACTAATTATTACTGGAAGGAGAAACTCGAAGCCTAGCACCGACACCTTTGACTTCCAATGGATTATCGCCTCGTGTAACACCACTTTAAAACGACTCATATCGAGAAAGTATTTAAATACTTCGGAGAAGCTCTACCTCGGTGTGAAATTGAAGGCAGAAAGAAATGAAACAAATATCACAGCTGTGACAACTAAGATAAGATATGGCGTATCTGTAATGGCCATCGGCTGTTATTACTGGAGCGAGAAAATGCAGGCGTGGACCACAGATGGTTGTGAGGTAAATGGGCTGGTGGGAGGGAGGGGACGGGGGTGGTTACCCAACACTTTCATTAGTTCTAATCCCTATCTCTGACGTAGATGCGGTCATGACTCACTGGCACACATTAGTCCCACATGTATCTTGTATTATTTTGTGTCACGCTATCACCACGATGACATCCTGATAGCCTGACACAAATTGCCGAACCAGTTAGTTCGGTTGGGCGACATTATCAAGTGTTTTTTTCGCGCAAAATAGCTTCCATGAGGATATCTCAACACGACACAGCCATTACTGTTTTAGTAAATATGAGAACTGATATTGTGGTTGAAGAGAAACTCTTTCCGAGAACAGTCGTTTCATTCGTTTGCAATGACTGATCACACAAATGTGTTGATTTCCCCATGAGCCAGTTTGTGTATTCACTGCTTGTGCAAGATTTAACGAAAGGCCAGTCAATTTGATGAGCTATGAGCTACAAACCTCAATGCAGTCAGAAATTTATTTGTTAGTCGTAGAGTTACACCCCTAGACATAATTACTTGGGACACTTTTCCAGAACAACGCGTACGATGTTCTCCTGCTTCCTTTCCCCTTAAAATATTTTCAATTGCAAATGGTTCCATGGCATCTTGCGGAACAACTTTGAGAGTAACAGGAAAGGAAGTAAATGTCCTAAAACGTGTGTCTGGAGATGTAGCAAGTTCGTTTAGGCATGCTAATCAAAGGGCTTTTAATTTATTGAAAAACGTACAGGACGCACGTGGTACAGACAGCATCTCGACTTTTTTTAGTTCTTTCTTAATACCATAATATAGGCTATGTAATTGGCGCAGGTAAGTAAATCCCAAATTATCATTTCAGATTATCATCAGCCAATCGCAAACTTCATAAACAATGTGAGAAGCATAAACACAGGATTATGTTAAAAACGTTTTTTTTTTTTTTTAAGGTTGGTTCAATGACCACATCAGAGCACGTTGAATGTCGTAGTAATCACTTAACGTGGTTTGGAAGCCGTGTTTTCGTTCCTCCCAATAAACTTGACCTGGATATCATAGCCAGCAGAATATCAGACCCCTCAAACTATGCCCCAGTCCTTTCTGTGCTCTGTGTCACGTTTGGTTTGTACTTCTTGGTTTTCATCTGGGCTCGTCGCCAGGATCGTAAAGATAAAAATAAGGTATTGGTAGAGGATAGAAAATTGAATCAACTTTTTTGTGTGAAGCTTCTTTAGAAGAGTGCTATCAAATGGAAATCGTTTCCTTTAGCTTCATAGCAATCACCGCTGGTTGTTAGAAACAGATGATCGAGTAAGCTAAAATTTTTTGGCATAAGGATGTACTTTTCACGAAAATGCGTCACTTAGGCACAAGGGACATCTGTCGATAGGTAACAAATAAACATAATATTCAGCGCGTCAAATTACGATATTTTATCCGTTAGCCCCAGCCAACGTGTCGAAACGTGTTAGTGTCCTGCAGATAAGGGGATGGGCTGAATCAAGCAGGTATTAGAGTTTCATCGTTTCCATCATTACTCCTACAGACAGGCTTAACTTTGAGCCCGAGCAACAGACCAGGAGACACACACGCCTACGAGGTTGTCATTTGTACTGGCATGCGCAGACACGCTGGAACAACTGCTAACGTTGCCATGACTTTAACAGGAGAAAAAGGCGAAAGTCATGCATTTCTGCTTAAGAGCAGTCACCGAGTGACGTTGGCTCGAGGTTGCATCGACTCGTTTCTTCTAACGACCCCAGAGACCCTCGGCGAGCTTTCGTATATCCGGATGTGGCACGATAACTTCGGTAAGGATCCGGCTTGGTTCGTAAAGCAGATATCCATACGTGAGGTTGACACTGATGGAATCTGGCACTTCGTATGTGAACGTTGGCTTGCAGTAGACGAAGGTGATGGTATGATTGATAGAATATTTCCAGTAACAAGTAACAAGGAGTTAAAGGAGTTTCGACGTTTGTTTCTGACTAAAGCTTACAATGACCTTACTGACTCGCACCTGTGGTTTTCGGTTGTGTGGCGGCCCGTCCAGTCCCCTTTCACACGGGTTCAGCGCGTGTCTTGCTGTCTGTCCGTTCTATTGTGTACCATGATGGCCAACGCCTTGTGGTACGAGAGGGAAAGTGGCCGTTACAATGCTGTCCAGTTCGGTCCTTTTGAATTTTCATGGGAGCAAGTTTCCATTGGAATATGCAGCAGTCTTATTGTGTTTCCAATCAATTTACTTTTGGTGCAGATTTTCAGACACAGCCGCCCGAAGCCTACACAAAATCATTGCTGCTTAAGGCCAAAACCCAGACCACGATTCTCGTCTATTCAAACGGAAATCACTACAGTGAAATTTGGATCTGGGGAAGGCTCTGCGCTTTGTATCCATTCCGCTAGTCAATACCAAAGTGTAAGAAAATGCACTTCTCAGGAATCACCAAAATACGAAGATAAAGGATTTAGCCTGGCATCTGCTCTACGTTCTGCTCATTTTCCTGCTCTTTCAATATCTTTAGCAACAGAGACTCCTCCTGATTCAACCTCTGATTTAAGATCTCTGCTAACAAGATACTCTCCATCTCGGCAGTCACCCACAAACGACCCTGAGAAGTCGTCGAATGCACCGATTGCGGAACACCCTTCCCATAAGAAAGGACTGCCTTGGTGGTTTGTCTATATTGGATGGTTTTTGGTTATATTAACCTCTCTAACTGCTGCATCGGTAACATTGTTGTACGGGATCCAGTTTGGTCTCAAGAAATCCACACAATGGCTTCTATCCATGTTCTTTTCGCTCACACAAGATATTTTTGTGAGCCAGCCGCTCAAAGTTGTCGCTTTCGCTTTATTTTTCGCGTATATCTTTAAAAAGCCCAGCAAAGTCGCATTTTCGCCAAAATCACAACTCAAATTTGATGAAGAACTGTTGCAGAGGCAGCTTCAGGGTTTGGAAGAGGACTTCGAGGAACGCACCGAGGCCCCTCCTATCAAGGTGCCGACAGAAGACACTATCAGGCGTGCCCGAGACAGGGCACAAAAAGAACGCATGATGCACGCTATATTGCTTGATATAGGGACTTTTCTCGTATTCACATTACTTGTTCTTCTCATTGCCTATGGCTTCAGAGATCAAAGCGCTTTTCGTCAGAATGACGCTGTCGCCAAAGTTCTACTACAACAAAAATTTAGTGAGGAACCAGGGGGGTTTAAGCCGCAGAGATTCGCTCAGGTAAGTTTCGATTTGTCCTTTTTATCAAGGGCCTTACTTTGAATTAAACATATCTAAAACTATTTTGTCTTCCTCAATAGAAAAATTCCCTTTAGTCAATTTTTGTCAACTTCTTTTTGTTCCGAGCAGTTAATTTTATTTCACTCCACCTTCGGAGTGAGTTTTCAAATCTAAAATATGAATGAATTAAGGATTATGAGGCCTACTTTGCTATAGATCAAGCGCTTGGGAGCCTTTGTTCAATCAGTTATTGACTGACTAATGACCACTTCAATGCCACTTCAACGTAAGACGCAACAAGCTGCAGCAAAATGTACTGTTACGTATTGATAGCCTTGCTTTAGGCAGAATTAAATTTCTCATGCTGGGTTTGTCTACAACGTCTAACCTTCAATTGCGCTTTCACAGTAGCCAGCTGGTAATCGTGTTACGTTGACACTGTTATATCTCCTCTCAATTCTCATAACCTTGTAAGAAAATTTAGTAAACCTTTTAGAGTCTTGCTTTTTCCTTTCCAAATATTCGCGGTATTGACATCGACTACAAAAACCATTCACGTTCCAATTTTTTCAGCTTTAGATGAAGTCACATTGTGCAGCAGATCGTTCCAGCTCTTGACCTGATCCGGTTATTTTCGGTGCAAAATCAACTGAGTTACAATGTTTTTAACAAATTTATTTTTCCTATTGTCTTTATATAGATCATTCGACAGAGAGATATGTGGGATTGGGCGGAGCTCGCAATGCTTCCTACACTGTACAACTTGCCATCGTACTTCTACACCGGAAAAGCTCCGACGTTTATGGAAGGAGAAAGCGGATTTGTGGTGGGTGTGGCTAGGTTGCGACAGCACAGGGCAAAGAAAGGTGAGAAGAGAAATATAAAGATAATAGTTTTTTCCTCATAGATGTATACAAAATAATTTCTCGACATTTTTTCGGTTAAAATTTTTGCGTAGCTCTAGAAATGGAGAACATCATAATATTTATTAGTGATTCTTCATTCATGGATCTTACTAAAGCCTTAACAACTCGAGCTAATCTTGCAATGTTACACCGTCCAGTTTAATACCATCTCTCGTTTCCTTTATTCCTCATTGAAACTAATGAGTACGAAACAACTTTACGAAGGGATTTCAATTCCCTTAACTCTCTCCTAAGCCCTCTATTGATGTTTCTCTCTCTCATACTTAGATTCTTGTCTTGTGGTGCCCCAAGTACAGAATTTCTTCTCAAGGTGCTCCTCACAGTATGGAATGACTACAGAGGAAGAACAAGCTTACACCATTGGCTGGGAGTCACCCTCAAACAACTCTAAGACTTCGCTACTGGGTCCCTGGAGATACAGCTCTGCCAGCGACTTAGATGGCTACCCTTACACGGGTGGTGTAAAAACATACTCGGGAGGGGGATATGTGTTGGAACTGTCTCACATCTATTACAAAGCCTTGCGACAGATCAAGGATTCCAGGGCTGCGCTCTGGTTGGACCGCCATACACGAAGCATATTCATCGAGTTTACACTCTACAACCCAAATAGCAACTTGTTCTGTGCGGTAACGTTTCTGATGGAGGTATTTCCAACAGGAGGAGTTTTCCCACATTCAGAGGTCCTTGCCTACCGCCTCTACCGTTACGTCGGTGATTTTCAATTGTTTATTCTCGCCTGTGAAGTCTTTTTCTTGATATTTGTAATTTACTTCACATACCGAGAGGCTAAAAAGATTTACAAGACAAAGGGAAGGTACTTCACAGAGGTGTGGAATTTGATGGACCTTGCTGTAATGATTCTCTGCTGGATCGCTCTGTCGTTTTATTTCATCTGTCTGGGATTGAGGAAGTGGACTTTGCATCTTTATCGCCAAAATCTCACCAAGTTCATTAGTTTCCAGTACCTTTCAGCTTGGCAGCTTATGTTCGAAAACGTGGTTGGTGTAACTGTGTTTGTCATTTGTCTCAAATTTATCAAACTGTTGAAATTCAACCGGAGAATATTTCTTCTTTCCTGTACATTGCGACATGCAAGCAGAGAACTCTTGCAATACTTTATCGTGTTGATCATTGTCTTTCTGGCATTTTCGCAGCTTTATCATTTTCTTTTTGCAAGCAACTACGACTCTTTCAGCACGCTGATTGGCTCCATGCAGAAACTTCTCAGCGTCCTCTTGGGACAATTTGACTTTGAAGAAATGATGGGATTGCACAAGATTCTTTGCGCGCTGATTTTCTTTCTCTACACCATCTTGACCAATTTCTTGTTTCTAAACCTTCTCATTGCCATCATAATTGAATCTTTCGAAGTAGTAAAACGGCAAAATGACCAAATGCAGAACGAATTTGAGATGCTGGAATTTATCATGATGCACTTCAGAGACCTCTTAGGCATACGGGCACTGAACAGAGCTACTAAGGAATCGCAGTTCGCGTTTTCTAACAAGGCCATGAACAGACCACTGTATGTGAGTAAGAGGAAACGTACAGAAAGGAAAGAGAGTGCTAAGCGGCTCGAGAAAGCCTTAGACAGACTGGCATGTTACGTGAATGTGATCAACGATATCGAGAATGAAGATGACTTGCTTTGCTGTTACATATCCCGGAGAATTCGTCATAACTCTTTAAAAAAGGCAAAAACTGCTGATTCTCGTTTATGACAATATGCTTTTCTCTATAAACTTGAGTTACCCCCAATAATTATTATTTCAACGGGCTGAAGAGCAATGGAAACTCAAAACTGCCTGTTTGTGTATGAAAACACCTACATTTAGCGATCTACATCGGGCACAATCAACTAGAAAGCTTGATCTTGGAGTAAGAGGGTTGAGCTTAAGGTCTGGTTTGAAATAAAAGGAACACGATCTGGGAACTGAATCAAACAAAACAACAAAAACAACGAAAACAAAGCCGACAAAGCTTGCTGATTACGCATCGTTAAGTTTTTCAAGGATTGCCAATGATCAACGAGGTAGAAAATTGCGACACTAATGATCATGTGCTCGCGGGGGAGATTATGTGAATAAAAGTCTTTCGTGTATATTGTGCGCTATTTGTGTGATGATATCATTTTTCTATTATTCTCGTAGTTTATTTTAGGTGAGGTTACTTCTATAGAATTAATTGGCATATACGTTTGTGGCCGACTGATTATGGAAGATAAAAGAAAATCCATATGAAACACTGTGTTCCATGATGTTTGTTCGCAGCAGATTTTGCAATTTTGTTTCACTATTCAGGGTAGGGACCTGCCTTCTTATCTTTAGGGTTGAGGCTAAATTGTTCTTTTATTGCCTTGTGTTGGTCATCCATTCAAAAATGACAAATATTGTGATTGGATAATTTCTGAGTCGAAACGAGGCATGTGAAATCAAACATTACTGGTCACAAAAGATGGAGGGACAAAGGGTCACACAACCCGAGAATAAGCACTATACCCCCTCGGGACTAAAAGCGTCTCACACAGAGTCAGGAGTCAGGCTGTACTGAATAATTACGAAAATCAAAAATATGTTCATTTTTCCAAAGATTTTTCCTGCAGGCTTTGGAACTGGCCAACACTGGCTAATACTGCAGAGTAATCGTGTCATATGATGAGACCATGACTCTGTCTCTGCGTGACTTTTATTCATTCATTCAAGGAACGATTCTGTATTCCGTGCTTTACAATTGATTGTAAATCTTTATTATGTTTTCCTGTGCTGTCTGTAAAATATTTCGTGATGGTCACCCATCGCACAAAAGGGAAAGCTTCTGGGCTTGGATTGTTTGCTTCGCCGCTGCAACGAATCTGGCTTTCACCACTGGATTGGTTTATAGTTTTGGAGTGCTCTTGCCGATATTCATGGATCATTTTAAAGAAAACCGAGAACGTACAGGTAATCTAATGATTTAACTAGACATGTAAATTTTTAGAGTTTACAATCTCTCGAGACGCTAATTTAATTTGCATCGATGGCATAGGTAGCCCATATGGCATAGGTTGCCACACGACTGCTTCGTACCTCTTACGCAACAACAGTAATATAAGGGTTTTGTATAGGGAAAATAACTACATTTAGATACCTTTTCGGAATTTCTCTTCAAATGAATAGTCGAACCCACTCCCGTATTTTGCTTCTTTGTCTCCGGTCTGATATACGTGGAAAAGAGTGGCCTTGGATCGTCTGAAAACCTAGTTTTTCATTTGACTACGTAATTATGGCGATTTCTAGAATGTCACGCAAGCCTCCGTTACGTTACTTAACGAAAAACAGTTGCGATTGAGGCAAAGAATACCGGAGCCAAATACGAAAAATACCAACTTGGACAAAAGTTAAGAACAGCAGAGAGCCAGGCAAATTTGTGAAATTATGGTATAGTAAGGGGTATGCTAACACTGATTGTAGACGACGAACGTAACAAATTTAACTCGATGAACAGCTAGGAGGTAGCGTTAGCACGAGGCTGCCATGTGACTACTCAATGCCTCTTTAGATCAGATATGGGCGGCCGTCACCACCAAAAATACAAGGATGTCAAATAGGTCAGCAAATACAAAGCTGGTTTAAGAATCAGCTGCAGGATAGAATAGCTAATAAATGAATGGCATGGCCAAATTATAGACGGTTTAGTTTTCCTTCATGAAATAAAGTTCAGGGTCGTAACAAGGTATATGAGATCAGGGATCACAGCCCCGGGATCTATGATCACAACACTTGGGATCGGGATCAGCAGTGTTTTAGTGGAATCAGGGATCAAAATTGTGAACGTTTTTGGGATCAGGGATCAAAATTCCCAATGTTTTTGTGATCAGGGATTAAAATTCTCAACGTTTTTGTGATCAGGGATCAAAATTTGGGGCAAAAATACAGGATCAGTTATGAAAAAATATACCTTGTTACCACCCTGAAAGTTGGTTAAGTTGAAAAGCAGGGATTGCTCGTAGTCTAGTCAGATATTTAAAAAGCCTTCGAGAGGTAACCCCGGCTTGCTTTGATCAAAATTAAGGTCGATACAAATTGGTTCTGTGTTGAATAAGTCGTTGAGAAAGAGTACTTATTTCCATTCTCATATGGCCAAATACTTATGTGTTCGGTCCTTGCACGTATTTTTTTTATCAGGTTTATTTTGGATGTTATGAAATACCTATATGTGGAAACTGTCGTTGTTGTCTTCCTTTCTAGCCTGGGTTGGTTCGCTACCTATCGCCCTGGTGCCGTTCTTTTCCATATTTGCAAGCTCCTTAGCCAACCGATTTGGCTGCCGAACGGTGTCTGTGACGGGATGTATGGCATTTGCGCTCAGTTTAGTGACAGCTTCATTGGCTAAGAACTTGACCGTCTTGTACGTAGCCTTTAGCGTTATTGGGATTGGGGCTAGTTGTGCATTGGTGTCAGGTTTAGTAATGGTTCGAAAATGTTTTGACAAACGCGAAGCATTTGCTCTTGGAATCGTTTCAACGGGGCAAGGCTTGGGAACAATGGTTCTCAGCCAAGTTCTTCAATATCTTACTGACGCTGTCGGCTGGAGAAGTACATTGCGGATCATGGCGGGTGCTTTAGTTTTAAACGCATTGCTTGCTTTGCTTTTTGATTCTAAAGTGGACACAGAAAACTCTGAGAGCGGGGAACAGCTTTCAAGTGAAGAGGATGGACAGAGAAGAAAGTCCAAACGATTCACATTCCATTGCTCCGTGTGGAAAGTTCCCAGTGTTATTGCGCTTACAATCACCGGAGTGTTCTTCATGTTTGGTCGTTCTATAATCTATGTGCTTGTGGTAGGTAGCTCTACACCTCTTACTAATCGAATGCGAGATCCGAATATGTGCGTTATTGACCAAGTGAGGTCAAGATGGATATTGACCGAGTTTTTTACGCAAAAGATACGAGGCTTATATACAGCTATTTTGACCGAAAGCTTGGTTAATAATAGATTTATTACATAACAAAAATATTTTGCTTTATTACTAATCAAGAATAACTTGCTTATTTCGAGAGCCGGGAAAGAAAAACTCGTGTTTGTAGCACAATAAACCCTCTAGATTCGCTTATGTTTCATTTTTTTTTAACTGCCTTCTGCCGCTATTTGCAACTCCATCGTCGACATTGTCCAAAAATAACCAACTCTATAAGTCCCCTCCATTCTTAATGTATTCTACACTTCTTTTGAGCAGCGGGCGGGCTAAGCCTGGAGAGTACAAATAGAGATTTCTCGTTTGTTGGCAATACTGCCAACCGTATGGAAACAAACATGAGGCGATATTCAGCAATGTTATCGTTGCTTAGAGAGAAAAGAAAAACATTTCTACTAAGAAGCAGCTCAGGTAGTTTGTTCAAATTGCGAGATACACGAGATGTTAGCAGCAACTGACAGATTTGAAAGTTTTTCGGTAAAAGTTTAAGCTTTATGGTGATTGAAAAAGAATCAGAGACGGTTGAGTTTATGGATGGTTGAACCCCACGTGCGGAGTTGACACTGAGGGAGTAGATGGTGAAGTGGAAAGGCAAAACAAGGGGAGGATAAAGCGCTCAAGGACTCCCCTCCCCTCCCCCCTGTTAACTTGGGGGGACAAGTTATCATCTTTCACTTTTACTGTTGTCTCGCACTTTGTTTTACATTCTCAGGTGAAATACTCTGTAGATCGTGGGATGTCTTCTGCAGCTTCGTCAAGGCTCGTTCTTTTTATGGGAATCAATATTGTTCTTGGCCGATTTGTGAGTGGCTTTCTGTGCTCCATCAAACGACTCGATAACTGGTTTATTTTACAAGGCATGGCAATCACAAACGGCGTCTCGACAATGCTCCTTGCCTTGGCTAACAGCTACGAATGGTTAGTCGCATATTCCGTTATATTCGGGTTTTGTGACGGGGCAATGGGTGTATTGGTTAACATCATAGCTCTGACATGCGTAGATCCCTCTAAAGCAGGTTCAGCCTTTGGTAACGTTTTGCTGGCGACGTCCTTGGTGACATTAGTTGGACCTCCTCTGTCAGGTATGGACAATACTATGAAAAGAAATTGAGAGACAACCACAGCTCTTGAATTTATATTTTAAGTCCTTTAAAGTGCAAGTTCGTGTCATAAAAACGCAAATTGCATAAATTGACACTTTAAATCCACTATAAAATTCCGGCTTCTTGCTTAGCTGGGCTATTCCTCTCAAATATCTCATAGATCGCTTCTCTTTTCAGAATTTCCAGAAATACGCCCGCACTGTGTCACTATTTTCGTCGATGTAGACGTGTCTCTTTATTCTGTGTCAAAACATCTAGGCAGTAGAAGAGCTACACGTAATTATCATCAGTTTGTGGCAGAAAAAACGCTCTGAGTCTTAAAATAACTCGAACATTATACCCGTTAGGAAAAGGTCAAGCCTGCTTGAGTGAGGAATTTGAGCTGGAACTATCAAGTTTTTCCAACAGAATAAACGTGTTTTGTCTTCTAATATGGAGATGTTTAAACTTAAAAAGTTCACTTTCTCGAACAGATGGCTCAGAAGGAAAGGTCTACAAGAAAGTCACGGTCGCTAATCTTGCTTTGTGCGAAAAGAATGGACGATCAAATCCGGCACTTGGTGGGGCATTTTTACACAGTTTTGGCCTCGAAGGCGGGAATTTAAACGAACCAATCTTGAAAAGGTCAAATGTACGGAGGGTTACCCGGAAGGGGATGGAGAAGCTTCAAATTGATGACGCACTATTCATGAACTGTTCCATTACAATCTCTAATTGCAAGCATGACACGTTTATTATCCCAGTAATTATCACTGAGGTCGGGTCGCTGATAAACAATTATATTCGAGAATCTTGTCAGAGCTTTGATTATAATGGGTTGATGAATTTCACTCTTAGGTTTTACCGTCGACAAACTTGGCACATATGGGCCTGCATTCTTCATGGCTGGCGGTGCTCTTATTGTAGCTTCGTTTACTCCATGGATACTGTGCTGTCTTAGAGACAGGAAAACTGAAAAGATTGAAGTATCTCTTGAAGACTATGATGATGGAACCGATACCCAGCACTTGAAGGAGGATAGCTGTCATCACGAGCCTGGCTTTGAGGAGATAACACCAGTTTCCGCAGTCCGCAGTCAACAATGAATTGTTCATGTAAATGAGTTTACAGATAATCACATTGTTAAGGGGCGCTGGTGTTGGTGTGATGGGTTTGCAGTCCACTCAATTTCCAAAAATAAAAATTGTGAATTCCAGTTGATTGAAGCTGGAATGAAATCAAATACTATCTCGCACCAAAGCTAAAATGCTTCAAACGAACGTTAAGAATCATACAAGTAATCACAATAATACTCAAAAGAGAGTGTGGATATTTCCCGAGATTTGATCCAATGCGTAAAGTCGTCAAATTCATGTCTTGCTGGGCAACAGGAGCAAAGCATCATCTGTTAATTTTGATTACAATACTATTCCTTTGACCTTTAAGAGTGACTAGCGTCTAATTTCTCCTTAAAATATCACTTTTGGGTGATTAAAATGAAGGAAATGATCACCTACCAGAAAAGTTCTCAGTTTTGAGCGCGCATAACTTCTGCTCGACGCTGAGATTGTCAAGATGATTGTAAATTAAGTGGGCTTTGTTCTCCAGTTACATACCCTCGTGCGCTCCGCGCAAGTCTTTGAACAGCTCACTACTTAGAGAGTGCACGAATGTATCTCACAAACCCGCTGAAGGCCTTAATATTCTGTCCAGATAGAAAGGCAAGCAAAAGCATATACTCCGTTGTCCGTGCAGTTGGGATATTCATTCCTTCTTCTACTAGTGCGCCTTGGGCTTTAAAGTCAGTCCAGTGGGATACGCAACTCGAATACGAAATCTTGTTTAGCCTTGTGGCCGTGCATCTCTTCGTTTATTTGACGCACCGGCAATTAAGGAGATGACAAGCTTGAGTAAAACCGTAAGATGTCTTCTGCTTAGCGCTTAGATAGTGTATCAAAATAGGCATGAAGTGTGCTCTGTTTCAGTTGCATACACACATACAAGGAAATCAAGCAAAATGCAACCACGGTTCATTACAATTGATTTAGGTTACAAATCACCCAGATGAATCACTCTATTTCAAGTGACGGAAGAGGGAGAGGAGAAGGACGAGGAGAAAAAAGGATTAAAAACTCGAGACAATGGAGAGAGTACATAAGGTTACTTTAAATGGATTAGAGAGCTTGAAAATAACTGCATTCAATTGCAAATTAACAGAGGGGTATCAGATTAAAAACTTTTCCTTTTGCTTCTAAAGCTTAAATTGCAGATGAATGCAAACAGAGCAAGGTCAAAGCAAACAGCAAATAACATTACCCGAATGGAGCATTAAACTGCATATTTAACAAAGGGGTCTCAGTTTGAAAACTTACGAAGTAAAACTTACAAAAGAAAATAAAACTTCTGCTTTCACTGCTTAAGTTGAGGACATTAATCTATTGACTTGCCACCCTAAACGTAGGGCTAGAACCCAGATGACAACCCTGGGTTGTTTGAGACATTTTCTCACAACACTGAAAATAAGGATTTTATTCTCACAAATTGCCTGATTACAACAACTGTCCAGTCCAACTTATTGAATGTTTTCTTCCCTGGTCATCTGGTCATAAAACTGTTCCTTGTGACAGAAACACCCAGGAGATAACTTGCTGCAATCTTGTTTAGTGATACTTCCTCCAACTGGAATGGGCTATGGGAAAATAAAAAGTAAACACATTTTCAAAAAGGTCAACATTCAAGCACAGAAAAACTCTGAAATGATTATTCTGCTAGAGCACAGTCACAGTAGATTGTTATTTTGGGAAGCTCCTAAATTCCAAGATGAGTATTTCTTACATAACTCTTTAACCCCTAAAGTGACGAGCATCAAATTTTTCTTTACAATACCAAAATCACATGTAAAGGTCACAAGAAAAAAGGAAATGATCACCAATGATAGAAGCTCTTGATTGTTAAACAAATTCTCCTTGTCAGCACCTTAGGAAATGTATTGAGAACAGTATGGAGAATATGTCTACTAATGTTAGGGTGTAAGGGGATAAAGGAAACTTGATTTTCCAAGCCCTCATTTTCAGCAAATTCTAGCTAGTTCAAACCAAAACTGACTTCCCTTCTCTTGCCAAACACTAGTAATTCACCCCAAGTTTTTGGAATAATCCTAGACCATTTCCTTACTCTCTGAGGTTTTAGAAATAGGATTCCAAAGTACATTTCCCTGATCAAAAAGTAGTCACATTTTTCCAAAGGAATCGTCACAAAGAGTTAGTTTGGGCAATGCCATTTACCAATCATTTTCCATATACATTTTATCATTTCTAAGATCCAGGGCTGTTGATTATACAAGTATGAGTTTTCAAGAGACAAAAACGTTTGGTTTCCCTTGTTTTAAGGGACAGCAATTTTTTGTATTGTCACCACTTTTTTCCTATGCTCTGTTGTTTAATCATATTTTCAGTCTTTGTCCTAAGTCACTCATGAAAGTAACAGGTTGGTACTCTAGGGATCACCCAAAATATTTTTGCTCCTGGTCTTAAGTTGGTCCAATACATATGATTGTGTACTTTCAACTAAACTTTCCTTTCCACAAAATCCACTTAAGGTTACCAAAAATAATTCACTTCCATTCTTTTTTAAGTGTCTAATGGTGGATATAAATTATTACTAACTTAAGGACGCATTATGATCTATTTGAGAAATAACCAGGTCAGACGAGTTTCTTAAGAGACTGCGGTGCTGCGTCGGTGGGAGAGTATAACAGGGTAATTTAATAATATCAACTGAGTTGATGACGTAAATTTGCCATCGTAAAGATTTTAAAAGCTAACGCTTCGACCATTAGCCCTTCGTGAGAGCGATTGGGAATCAATCGCTCGAAACGTCAGCTTCTAAACTCTTTACGGTGACCAATTTACGTTATCAACTCAGTTGAAAATACTAAGTCCCTGATACAGTTAAGTAAACAACCCAAACATACAGTGAAGCAGCTAAAAATGTACACCAGACTCTACAAACAAGCTCACCTTTAATGTGGGGATACTCCATGTAATAATTAATGGCCATGGCAGCAATGCAAACATGAATAAACGGAGTCAATCTGGCGTTCTTTACTTGAACGTACTTGGCTCTGTAGCTGTTCCAAATCCTGCACCATCCTAGCCACAAATGATCAGATCCTTTGGATAAGTTTTTGGTCAAATAATCTGGCACGTTGCGCAGTTTTGTGTCTCTCAAATTGGACATCGTTTGCGTGAAGTTTCAGCCTTACAAATCCTACAACTCGTCAGTAGTTTTTACTCACAACTCGGACCAATCTGATAGAAGTGATGTTGGGTTTGTGAGCAAGAATGATTATGGGTTATGCTATCCCATGGCCCCTTGGTTTTCCACCCTTTGATGAGTGTCTGCTGACCAGAAATGTTCGTGTATCTATTTGTAGAAGGAGACGACGCGACCAATGAGTGATCGTTCAACGATGAAGTTGTGAGCCATTAAGATCACTAATTAGTCACCACAATTTATTTAAAAGAACGAAACAGTTTCTTTTCTATTGAATAACCTATCAATAATCAATTAAGATGTATATAGCGACGGTTTTGACGGGTATTGCTGTCGTGATCGTACTTGTAGCATATTGGTTGAGGGGCCGAAAAGACCCTTCTAAGCCAAGAATTTGTGTCCTAGTGCTCGGAGATATCGGCAGAAGTCCTCGTATGCAGTATCATGCTCTTTCTTGTGCAAAAGCAGGCTTTCGGGTGGATATGGTCGGATTTGGAGGTATGAAATGATACTGGCTTCATGAAAAGTATGCTTGGGGTGGGGTGGGGGGGTTTGGTATTCAGACAGTGTTGGGGTGCGCTAATATTTAATTGCTCGAGGGGTGTTTTAGGCCTGTTGGAAGGTGAAAAGTATTGGTTCGTATATTTTTCTGATGTATTTTACAATGGGTGATGGTGAGCATTGTTGTTTTCTTTTAAGACTCTTACGAACTGCATCATGCATAGTTTAATATCCTCTCTGTGAACCTTTAAAAAGGGATTTAAGAAATTCTTGATCAATTTTTCTGAGAGTAATGGAAACTGCAAGGTACATCTTTAGATGGCACATTGGTTTTTACACAAACATTTCTGTACATCTATTCAGTCAGGATCTTATGGTGGGATTAATTTACTTATGGGTTAGATTCTTGAGTCTTGGAATCCACCTTTCACTACTCCTAAGACTGTAGAATCTCCAATATTTTTACTTCATAAGGGAATGGAAATGGGTTTTAATTGATTATTAAAGAGTTTTAGGGAAGCCATTGTTAGTTTCAATTATCTAGAGTTTTAGTAAACTTAGTTTTTGTGTTTTCAGTATTATATTATTTTCTTCTCAGTTCACCAGTGTAAGAGTGCTAGACATTGTGGCATGCATACTTTTAAAAATTTCTTAGCTTCTAGAGAGGTTTTATAATCGTGTTCTTTGCCTCTATACTATTCAGGGTCTAATCCAATAAAAGAACTCGCAGAGAGTGAAAAAGTCGTAATCAAGACATTGCCAGAATTTCCTGAATCTCTGAGAGGTATGGAGTTGCCCAATGCTATCCTAAAAATATTTAAGAATGGTCTACAACAAGGGAAGCTATAGGACTAGGGGAATTAGACTCTGAGCCTTTACTCCACAACAGACAAAATACATAATGCACCCCAATGCACTTTGCAGCAGTTCATCATATTCCATGTCCTCACTTACTTAGCTTGAAATCTGACATGAGAATCCCTTCTCTACCCTGTCCCCCTTGGAATTGTCAGCCTGGTATTCTAATAGTCTTGAATGGTTAATGGGAGTGAGGAAATACCGCTGTATGAGAGTGACATGATTACAGAGTATAAATTATACTAATTGTACTCTATTACTTTTTCTTATTAATGATGCACATGTTAAATAACTTTTAACACCATTTCATTCTGGATAATTTATAGGTTTGCCCAAGTTGCTGTTTTATGCCTTGAAAGCAATCATTCAGTTTTTCCAACTCTTTGTAACACTTCTAAGCTGTGGCTCACGATGTACCCATTTGTTAGTTCAGGTAACTGAATAACCTTCTAAAATAGTTCCAATAATTGTGTTAATTTGTTGATTAATAACCGTCTTCCATCATTATTGTGACAGAATAATAATAATACTGTTCTGTTTAATGTATAGAATCCTCCAGCCATCCCCTCCCTGGCAGCAGCATGGTTTGTGAGTCTCCTTTGTGGAAGTAAATTTGTCATTGATTGGCACAACTATGGGTTTACAATCTTGGCTCTGGGAGTGAAGAATACTGCATACCCTCTTGTAAAGGTAGCTAAATGGTAGGTTGTTCTGTGCAAGGCTGTGGGATTAGGAAAGGGAACCCAGATAAAACTTGGGGCAAAGGACTAGAGAGAAATGAGCTCAGGAAAAATTGGATTACAATATTATCAATTTAAATAACAATGATAATTAAGTTGTGTAGCAATGTAGTTGAAATGAAATCATTTGTTCAACTAAGACCCAGTTGATAGAAGGGGGCAGTATGGAAACAAAACAGATAGCAGAAAAGTTATGGTACACTACGCTGTTTACAGCTTGTCAAGTGCAAGGTAAATTGTGCTAACTTAAAAGGTAAAAATTATTTTTAAGACCAAAATACAACAGAATGATTTCACAGATTGATGGCTAATAACTTTTACACCTAATTGACAAGATGATGAGGAATTGATGAAAATGTTCCTCCCCCCCCCCCTTGACTTTCCACCCAACCCGAGGAGTATGTGGAATGATCATTAGGAAAGGGGAGGGGACAGAATTTGTATATGTTGGTATCATAGCTAACATAAGGATATGAACTGTTCAAATGGTATAAAAGTTTTGTAAATTTTTCATAGAATACAATGTCTCTACCCTCAAAGGGACTATTTATGATTTCATTGTTTCAATGTATTGTCTTCCTTTTCAACTGTATGCAGGTATGAGTTCTTTTTTGGAGGTATGTCATCAATTAACCTGTGTGTCACTCAGGCAATGCAAAGAGACTTGTGGGAAAAATATGAAATAAGGTCTGTAATTGTTACGTGATCAAATAAGTGAATTTTACCACAAATTAAATGAATAAAATTAATAAGTAATGAAAAACTGGTAAATATCTAGTTTGAAACAATCCAAAGCTGCATCTAACAATATGCATGTGAAGCCAATATAAATATACATATTTAAACATATATAAATATTTATGTGTATGTATGTATTTAAATAAATTTATATACATGTAGAAAATAGCCCAAAACTTTTTTTCTTTTTCTGTAGGGCACACACTTTGTATGATCGGCCTCCATTGCGGTTTCATGAAATGGATCTCTCTACACAACATCAAGTGGGTAATTCGAACAAGTTTTTAATAAACTAAATAATGCAAATTAAATAATTTGGTAAAACCCTGGCTGTCAACAAGACAAAGTAGGCATGGGTTTGTCAATGCCTAACTGGTTAACCCTTTAAACCCAAATAGTAACTAGCATTGAATTTCTTCTCACAATATCACCCCTGAATCACACATTAGGGTCATGAGAATAAAGGAGATGATCACCAACTAAAGACGCTTTTGATCAGTAAACAAATTCTCTTTGTCAGCACCTTAGGAAATGTATAAAGAACAGTATTGAGAATATGCATAATGACATTAGGGTTTAAAGGCTTAAAATAAACAAGGCAGTTGTACATAAGCCTCAGACATAGTTTACATTACTTTACCTAACAAGAAGTAATGTACGATTAGCCAATCAATCACATCAGTCATATATCAAACTTTCCTCATGCTATCCCTTTGGATTAGACTGGATATTGTGTGTCTGGATTGCTTATGTTGATATCTAAATACATTACCTTCCAGCTTTTTCTAAAGCTTTCCAAGGAATATGAAGTTTTCAGTGCACCAGAAAGGTATAGTCATTTTTTTGTTCTTATTTCTGTTTTCACATGTAAGTTTTGTTTTTTTAATCAATTAACGTGAATGCATGCTCTTCTTGGAAGTCCTTCAGAATTCAAGAATGATGTAACTTCTATGACAGCATTCACCATTCAGTTAAAAGATGGAAGAATTCTTTTCAGACAACAGAGGCCTGCTCTCCTAGTCAGCAGCACAAGTTGGACAGGTAATCATTAAAATCCTTATTGACTAAGAAAAAACATTCTTTAAATTGTTTGCTGAGAAGCAATGCTTATGACAGTAACTTTCAAGTACAGGATGTGCTTGTTTGTTGTAATACAGAGAGCCATTGGCTCACTGGCTAAAGTACTAAATGAACATATAGTTGATTTTAGAATTTTGGGATTGTTTGTTAGTTGTACCTCAAAATATAACTGATGCATACTGTTGTCTTCATTAGTCACAATGTTGTGTTGTAACTCACAACACTTTTTTTTTAAATATTTATAGAAGATGAAGACTTCTCAATTCTACTGGATTCTCTTGAAGGTAAGAACCACCAGGAACTTTAAAACCTCTTGATCTGTTTTACTGAGGAAAATAAATGTACATGTATTTAACAAATTAGATATTTTCTTTAAATGATCTTGGGGTAAACAGCATTACTGAATAGAGCATAACATCACGGGAAGTTAGCAGAAAGGATGTTGTGCTTTAGAAGACGAAGGAACTAAGGATTTCCACCACCATTCTGTCTCCTTTCTAGTCTTTCCTGTGAAATCATATTCATACCTTTCCCTTCCTTCTACCCATTTACTATTTTGGGATCCCTCTTCCCATTATCAAGTACATGTTTCTTAATTGGAACTAAGTAGAACTGAGTGGAGGCCTGTAAAGCTTATTTCACAAGTTTGGAAGATATACATCAATAGGAATTTTCTGAAAAATTATAATCACTGATTAATTTCAAATTATTTGTCTATCAAATAGAGTATGAGAAGGTTATAAGTGAGGACCAAGCATCCCTTCCTTCTATAGTTTGTGCCATAACTGGTGAGTGCTGGGTAAATAAAGTTCCAATCAGATTACCAGTTAAATCAATCCAGCAGTACGAAAGACTAATTGCACCTCTGTGTTTGCTTTGTTCTCTTTAACAGGCAAGGGACCTTTAAAGGAATATTATCAAACAATAATTAGTAAAAAGAACTTTAAACATGTAAAAATATGCACTCCATGGCTTGAGCCAGAAGACTACCCACGCCTGTTAGGTGAGTGCTTAAGTTGACCCTGTAACTCACCATTGTCTTAACGCCCAAGATCTGGTTGTTAGTTCTCCCCTCTAGTTGTTACACACCTCCTTGTTAATTAGTTATGAGGATTAGATGTTAGATCTAGATAACCTGTTAAGTTTAAGTATTCTCACTACCTGTTTGTCAGTTAATGTAAGGATATTTTAGAGAGAACTTACATGTTAATCACTTCTGGGAGTTAAAGGATGAAGCACACCCCTGAACTCGTCTCACAGGGGGGTGACTCTTTGTTTGTGCTTTTTATTTGTTAAATTCCTGTACAGATTGCAAATTAATATATCTATATAAATATCTCACACAGTTGTATGCCAGTTTTTCTCTGTTGGATAAATTACACTGTTCCTAAATATTCAGCACATTTCATTCTAACTGACTAACCAACTTTGAATTTTATAACTTATTTGAAGGTTCAGCTGACCTTGGTGTGTGTCTGCACAAGTCATCATCAGGTTTAGATTTGCCAATGAAGGTTAGCCAGTCAGTTGTTCAATATTCCTCTTTATTTCTTTACAGTCATACCTAAAAAGTTGATTATTAAATCACTTATTTGTGTATTGTCAATTGCCAGGTTGTGGACATGTTTGGTTGTGGCTTGCCTGTGTGTGCTATACATTTTGAGTGGTAAGCAATGTACAAATATTTACAATTATATAATAAGCTTAGTTATGCATGCATTCTGATTGGTTCTCACTTATGATCTATTGCAGGACAGACGTATAGATGACGTCATCATTAAAACTTTTTTTAATTCTTTATTATATAAATCAAATAGATTCCAAGTTACTGAACAGACGCATGGCAACTTGGAATCTATTTGTTAGTTGGTTAATTACCGGGCACCTATTAATCATTTGATCGTGCAGTACTCAGTTAATTTATAAGGCAATCAATATTAACTAGTGTTATAATGAAAGACAAAAAAAAATGTGACTCATAGGAATGGCAAGTGTGGTATATTTGGGAAAAGAAATTGGCATGTACACGTACTATGTATTACAACGTGCTGCGTGAAAGTTTTCGTAAACGATAAAGTGAAGAACAGCTCTCCTCCACTGACTGTCCGTAAACTTTTGCCTGACAGTGTTATCGACTGAGTATTAACGGGATGCCAGGAAAACGTATAGTTTACCGAAATTTGCCTGTTGCAATGATTACCCTTTGTTAAGTAAGCCTACTCCTCTAACATTTAATGAGACCAGCGTAAGATAACCAGGCAATTTTCGCCTTCATTTCAGCTTACACGAGTTGGTCAAACATGAAGAGAATGGTCTGATATTCCGCGACAGTATGGAGCTAACTCAACAACTAAAAGTAAGGTTCAAAATCCGGCCTTGTTTGTTAAAATCAGAACCTGAGCCTATTCCTGTTATAAGGCTCATTTATCTTCCATAATGTGTTGTTGATATTGTTGATAGGGAAATACTTATTTTGATTTCCCTTTTTTTTTTTTTTCCCAAAAACGATGATTGAAAGGAACTATGTTTTTTTGGAAGGTGATGGAGAACATCATCCAACATACGCTTGGGGTTACACTCTGATACCATGCATACACTTATGAATAAACTTCCACGAGACGCGTCGTCGAGAAAGTCCGTTCTTAAAATCACAAAAATAAGAGAAGAGAACTGTCATCTGATAGTATTGTTTTGAATTTCAGAAACTCTTTCGAGGCTTTCCCCTGAGCAAGCCGTTACTCACTAGTTTCAGAGAGAACTTAGCAAGTTTCCAAAGGACGAGATGGGATGCGAGTTGGAAAAAAATTGTCCTGCCATTGCTAAAAGAGAAATGAAACATGTACAAATGTTTCCTTAAATTCATCTCAATTAATAAAATTCAGTATAAATTATTTCTTGAAGACTGTATATTGTCGTATGGCTACGGATCTGAGAAAAGTTGCTATACTAGTCGTTGTTTCGTTGTTGATTTGAATCCGCCGTTCACACTTAGTTTACGCTACCATTTTGGTTCGAAAGGGATGTCTTGAGGTTGCAGGCTCCTGCATGCTGTGTTATTTTGCGGTTAACGGGAACCTCTCTCTTTAAATCCTTTGTTGAGACCTTGCCTTTCTCCGCGTTTCCCTGCCACTGCACTGTTACTGGAGTCCCCAAGGGATATGTTCTATGAACGTCATGTGACTAAACCCACGCCCACGTCTAGCTAGAGTAGAGAGATTTAGATCCGGGTTTGCGTGAAACGTGAACGGCAAAAAATACCACGTAGCTATTTTCCACGTTTGCCATTTCTGGGCGTTTGCCGTTTGGCGTGGATGTAAGTCTCTAATTTATCTAGTGACTTTCCGTCGTGCCTATTGGAATCGAAAGCCGGTAAACTAGAGAAGCACTCCTCTCGCCTGCGTAGCTGGTTTAATTGGATGAGAGGCTTAACGCTGCAAAGTACACACAAAACCGCCAGCTAAGCAGCTAAGCGTTCCACTTGTCGATAACTCATACAGCGCCTTGAAAGGAACCTCATATTGGAGCATTTTTTGTAGAGAAATATTTGTAGTACTTTTTTTCTTTCTATGACCAGGAGATATCCAAAATGGAGTTATTCAGACGAAATTCGATATCGGAAGGACAGTTATTAATGATCATGAAAACTGTGTCGTCTACAGCTGACGAAAATGAGAAACAACATTCGCCCTTAGATGAATTAATGGAAAAACAAATTCGGAGCTCATCGTGCCTGTAAAACTTTATGTCTAATCAAAATTGTAGATAAGTAAATAACTTGGGTAACTTCTAATATCAATGCCATAAACGGTGCCGGGCATTAAGCCACTGTCAACTTCTAATCGTTCGCCTGCTGCGGGAGCTGCCACACATGGCGCGATCAGCGTCTACAGTACTGTAAAAAGAGGCTTACTGGTATTTCTCTAAATACCTTTTGTCCCTGCAAAATTTGAAACTCTTAAGGACTTAGGAGAATCTTTCGTTGAGAGCAAAACCCAACAGAAGACTAGTCAAAACAAAGCAAAGGCGTGTTACGTGTATTAGCTGCGCTAATCGGCTTTCACACTATGTGACTGGATTATGGCAAGGAATGTTAACCACACCTGTGTCGACCTATCACGATCAACGATGCCATCCATCGTAACTGGTAGGAACAAAATGCCTCTTCAAACAACGAATAAGGTCGAATGTGTTAATCTTTCAAAGAAGTTAATACGATCTTCCGTTGACACAAAATATAGAATGCTAATTTTTTTGAACACCTTCAACAACGGCGACTTCAGTTTTGACCACTGTTAGAGTTCGTGCCCTACACTGGCCTGGCTACTGAGCAAAGCCGCCCCCCTCCCCCCCCCCCGAAAAAAAAAACTGTTTTCCATTTTCCTTTTGATTTCCTAGAGTTTGATGAAACGAAGGAAAATTTTCCTCCATGAAAAAACAATAAAGTATAACTCGCAGTTTTCCTTCCCCGCCTGTGATGGCAAAATTCCTACGGTGAACTCAATTCCCAAATCCGTCTGAAATAAGGAAGGAACAGTGGCTTGAAACAACAGGCACAGTTAGCATCAAACTCACAGTTGAAAAGGAATCAATTATGCAATGCTCTGCATGCAACCCACTGACAATCATTACACTTCTAACTGAAAAAGTAAACACGTCATATGAGCAATTTCTTCTGACAACATGAAAGTAGTCAGCTTTAATTTGATCCCCTGGAAAGTTTGCTGTAACCAGATGGAGTGATTATTATTCTCTAATCGATATCGATGTACTCGAAACATACATTTTCAGTTTGATCACTGGCTTAAACTCTGGAACTGAAATTGTTCCCAGTTATTTAAAGCTTCAGTTTCCTAAAGCCTTTAATTCTTAACAAAGCTTTTTTCCTCTTGATTGGCAAGATATCTTGTTCTAAAAATAAATACTGTCAAAGATGTTCTTGATCACACTCTAACCGAGTTTAAATTAGCAAATCTAATTTCCTGTTACAAAACTCCTCCAAAAATTTGTTTCACTACCAGCGAACGCTGTTGCAGCTGCAGATTAAAAATTTTCAGACTAAACCAAAAACCGGAAAATGCCCAAAATCATACAGCCTTCAGAGTACATTTAATGAAAAATTATATTCCACACTACTATTTCGGATATCAGTAATTTTCCTTCGTTGATGTAAATGTTTCTGTGCTTTCTGGGATCAGAAACAGTTTTATCAGTCTTGGTTGTTGTAACACCGTTCGTTCGCAAAAATTCGACGAAAAGATCCCATTTTTGTTCCCAGGACAGGTGCAGGCAAATGAATGCCGGGTTCTAACCAAATTTAAATTACCACTCGGTTTAAAATGCCGAAGATTCTCGCAAGATCATGAGGAATTCGTGTATCCTAGTGTAGCAGGATCCGACCGAATATCAGGGAAAATTTTGAAGTCATTAAAAGCTGAAAACACTTTACTGCATACATTAAAAGCTAGATAAGATACACTGAAAATTTAGGCGACAGGCAGACAATCTCTTTATCATGAAGGGAGAAAACGAATATTTAACTGTAGAAAAATAAACCTTCTCATAAAACAACGGTGAAATTATTCCCTGGCAATTATTATTAGCAGTTTCGGTGTAATTTCCGTATTTCCTTAGTTTGCACAAAAACTAAACAGCCACTAAACGTCGAGTTGTGTTACCATGGCGTTCAACCACATGAAGGCTGATTAAAGTCAGAAGCAAATTTGGCAACCTGAGTAAACGAAAAAAAAAATGATAAAAGAACCATGACGAATCATTTAAACAGAAAGAAAAATATCGCTGACGCGACAGGATGTGATTCGTTGAAAATATAGCTCTCCAAAGAAAAAGCTTTTGTTGGAAAAACAAAACAAATATACTGGTGTAGAAAACCGTATATCGAGTCCATCGATATTCACCACGTTACATGTTGTACACGATCATTGAGGGCCTATTACTTGAACCTCATCAAGGAATCTTTTAGTTTTTGGATTTCTGTATATGGTGACATTCTTGGTATTTAAAAATAAACATTTTTCCTTAATTCTGCGGAATGATAAAAATAAAGTATGTTGGTGTTGCAACATAAATATACGCTCGACCTCCCAGAACGCCAACCTAGGACCGAAAGGAGACTACTGTCTCTAATATACCGTAACTGTGTTAGTGCTGAAACTATATCATACTACGAGGAAAATACTCCAGTGAACTGAGAAAAATTTGTCTTTCGCAGACGCGTTTTGGCTCCCTGCGTTAAGGAACAATTTTGATATTACTTTCCTTATAAAAGACAGGTGTCGGCGACTCTTCTAACAAATGAAGTATGCTTCCCTGCAGTAGACTAGTTTTGAAAACTATAATCAACGAGGTAACATAAGAATGACAAAACAATGCACCCCGATTGCCACTGCGGGCGTCCAATTAACGATAACAATATGACGAGCCGTGAGCGATATTTTTGATTAAGAAGTTCGTGACTTTTTAATGTGTGTAATGGCATATCTGTCACGGTTTCCATTGTAGGAGTAGACAAAGCCATCTATCAGCGGTTAAATGCACTGATGGCGGTCTAGTTATTCCTCTTTTTCTCGAGTACGTGCAGGAACGAAAAAACACAGGTCAAGGCGCGGCGACGGAAATGCTACGTATGCAAGACTTTTGAGGTTCCAACCACGGGGTTTAAGGGATCGAAAGTTTGTAATTTTAAAAAGAAAACAAACTAACCGCAGTTTTGTTCAAATCAGCTTGCAAGACTAAGATGACTAAGATCGTCCCGACCACACGCTGTCACATAAATGATGTATGTCATGCCACTAGCGAATGGCTTCATTACAATGAAAAGCAAATCAGTCAGAGGGCGTCAACTGATCGTTTCCTCCAGGCCTGGCCCCTCAGTCATTCTACATAGCTACACATTTCACAATAGAGTGTGATCACACGTTGCTCTCTCCTCTCAAGTTCGGACGCATCCTTGATCACTCGCTGATTTTTCTCGCGTCTTGCCCCGATTGGAATAGTCGCCAACGGTGTTTACCCAACGTTGACAGCGTTTTCCGAGTAGTAAATTCGACTCCTTTTGAAAATATCATGGCTCCTAAAACGTTTAAATGGACTCTAGGACTCTTGAACAACGCCAATAAGAAATATCTCACGCTCGAGACATTCGGTTTCAAGCTGAACGTCGACGGAGTTTCAATGAAGAAGAAGCAAATATGGACGCTGGAACAAGACCAAGGCAGTGATATCTGCTATTTTCGGAGTCACTTGAACCGGTACTTGTCTGCTGATCCGAAAGGCAACGTGAAGTGTGAAGAAGAAGAGCGTACAGAAGAAACGAAATTCACGGTGGAGACGCAAACCAGCGGAAACTGGGCGATAAAGAGCGTCTACGGCGCATACTTCGGAGGATCGGGTGATCAGCTGAAATGCGTGGCTAAACCATCAGCAACAGAGCTCTGGTCGATTCAGCTCGCAATGCACCCGCAAATCAATGTGATGAGCTCGCGAAGGACACGCTACGCGCATCTCGACACCAAAACCGAGACCATAACAGCCACAGAGGTTATTCCATGGGGAGCAGACGCTATGCTTACCCTCGAGTTCGACGAAAACCAGGGCAAGTACGCTTTTGTAGCCAGCAATAAAATGTACCTGAACAGCGATGGCTCTCTGAATGAAGACCCTAGCAAAAAGAGTCTGTTCACCATTGAGTTTCACGAGGGGGAGGTGGCCTTCCGAACGGACAAAGGCAATTATCTAGCAGCGGTGGGAACAGGTAAAATCCAAGCCGGGAAAAACACTACCGTCGGAAAAGACGAGCTATTTGTTATTCAAGACAGCCCGCCGCAGGTTTCATTCATCGGCCAACGAGACCGACGACTATCGATTCATCAAGGTATGTATGGCTTGTTGTGGTTGAGTACAAGTAAAGCTTGGTTTATTTATTGTTCAAACACGAAACTTTTCACCGATGTCGACGAGTCATCGATAGTAGCGTCGTCGATGTGATTTTCATTCACCAAAATGCAAATTTTCCTTTGTTTGCCGATAAATCAACAGGTTTAAAGTTGCTTTGTTTCGAGTCCTCTATTTGTTTATTGTGAGAGCCGAGTTGAAAAGCAAAGATAAATGGATTTGAGATCGATAAACTTAAACACGTGCAACACGACTCTCGGAGAAAAATAGAAAAAGCTTTCGAGCGAAAAATGCCATGAAATGGTGGTCATTCTTGACCAACAACAAAGCTAAACTTAGATCAAGAAATATTAGTGATGAAAAAAATTCCCAACTGGATTTGATTTCCGACTGTGTCCTTGCGGCATCTGTGTTCATAATAGTTTGGCACCATTTAAACAATGGAACAATAAAATCGTTGTGGTCTCGTGAATGAAAAATCATACCAATAACTTTTTCAAAGGCAAACCGAGAAAGAGGTGAATTTGAGAAGGAAGGGAGGTTCTTAAGAAAGTTGCATGGGCGAGTTGGTGGAATCTTGACAAGTATTTCCGCGCAGCAGAGTCAGCTGATTCATGTGGCGCTTAATTGATTGATATTGATCAAGCGTTCAATCAATAGTTATTTGTCACGAAATCTCTTTTTTAAAGGGTAACAATAGTCATAACCTCTTCGATTGGATACGGCTCGTTTCATCGCAAGGAAAAACATTCAATTTCCTTGTAGCGATCAAAATTTAAAAAAAAAGAAAGAAAAAAAAAACAAGACGGCAATCCACAGCTTTTACTCTCATATTTCTATTTGGTTACCACTCAGACGTCCGACGGTCGCCTCTCGCCCAAAGAGTTTCAAATGTTTGCTGTAGAAACTATTGTTCAGATCGGTGTTTTCATGTGCGGAAACTTATTGCTCTTAACTTAATAAAACAAGAAATATTCTTAACATCGAATTCTAGGAGAAACACAGCATGATGATGGCGATGAAATTATCGAACGAGCTGAAAACTATCTCAAATGATAACCCAGTAAGACAGTGGATGATGAGATTGGCCCGAAGCAAAATTCACTTTTGTTTGGTATTTTGCCCTCTTTAAAATGTTCAATTTTTCGGTCGAATTCTGTGTAATTTATTACCTTAAAAGGTAATATAGGAAGTGTGAAGCCTTAACTCAATAAGAGATCCAGGCATTAAATAATAATGTTATCCTTTTTGTTATGATAATTACCAGCGATAACAGTTGTACAGCCTGAAAGGTGTTTCGTGGTAATATCAGTCACTGTATATAAAGTAAGAATATATCCAACTGGAATGTTGTGGATTTTTGAATTGTTAAACAATGCTCAAAACTTATCAGTTCTCATCTGTTTAAATTATGTGCGGTATGGCGGGTCATGAGGTTTGTGTTCAAGAGCATTGTTTGGTTGTCAAAGACTTAATATTTGTCACAACAGGAGTGGAAATGTAAAATCAGCTTATCTTGATACGAAAAAAGCTATTTAATACAAAATATCCTTAATATGCAACATTTGGAGAAAAAATTATTATACTGCCTTATCTTGATCTTTAGAAAACAAAATATTTCCTTTCAATTTAATTGAAATGTCTTCATTTTAAAGTTCTGGAATCATTGAAATAAAGTTTTTTGTGTGCCTTTGGCAAGATTTCCTGCGCTGTTAAAACATAGTCAAAGGCTAAGTCATTGACAGATTAAAGCCTAGGTCATGAACTTTCATACAAAGACACCTTAATTTGTTGTGCTTTTGAGACACCTAATGTTCCTCTTTGTGGAAACTGATAAGAAAAAGTTCGCCTAGGGGAGCTAACAATTGCTCAAGTTATGTCTCGACCTGTCGTTCTCTGACTGGGCAAAGCTATGCTGTATACAAGCTGTTTTGCACGTGATGCACTTACACCTAAACAGTATGTGCATTACAACAATTTTCTATTGAGTCTTGCAAATAATCCAGGATCCTATGGCTCTTGTATTACACTCAAGTCTTTTACAATAACTACTCAACCTTTCAGGTTCAAAGCTAAACCTTAGTGCAACTGTGTCACTTGCATATTTCCACACCTCACACTGCTCATGCTTATTTTGCTCATTTCCCTTGAGTTCCCAGCAGCTTGTTGCAACGTTTACAATGATTTAGGTCTGCTGAATTTCTGATTACTTTGGATTCATGGCATTTAATATAAAGGTGCTCTGACTAAATGAATAGACTTACACTGTACCTTCAAACTTGCCCTTTAATAGGAATGGATGTGATACTTAGTCGCCGTGATGAACTTGAAGACACTGAGATATTCCAGTTAGAATTTGACAAGACCAGTGACAAGGGACGGGTAGCAGTACGTGGAACCAATGGCAAATACTGGAACCTAGGTGAGAAGGGCATGACAGCATCAGCAGAAGCACCAGGAGATAACTGCTGGTTTGAGCTGGAATGGCACGGCAAACAGATTGTTTTCAAAGCTGGAAATGGGAAGTACATCACAGGCAAGGACAATGGTCATCTTATCGAGGGCAGCGATGAAATTGACCAGGAGAGAGGGTTTCATGTGCCAGAGCTGGTCAACAGACCCATGCTGGTGCTGCGTGGTGAACATGGCTTTGTTGGAGTGAAATCTGGAAAAGATTTATTAGAGAGCAATCATTCTAAATATGATGTGTTCCTTGTGACATGCAAGAATGGCCTGTACAAGATCCGTACCGACTCTGGTAAGTACTGGTGCTGTGATGAAAAAGGCAACGTAATGTTGGCAAATGACCAAGCTGGTGCCCATGAGTACAGTATTGAACTTCCTAAGTACAACAGAATGGCAATAAAAGCTGCTAATGGACTTTACATTGAGGGCCACCAGAATGGATCCTTTTGTGCCACAGGAAAGTCGCTTGGAAAAAACAGTTTATGGGAGTACTAAACTGTAGCAGGTGTAGAATTAATTAATAATTTTCAAACTTAGAGGACAATATTTTTCAACCAAGTAAACTGGAAGCATAACAAATCGTTTCCAAAAAAATCCTCAAAGAAGCAAATTTAACTAATTTCTTCTTAGTCTTTGATGATATGGTTATTACACTGTAATTTTATCATAAGAAGGCTGATTAAGATCACTTCTGAGTTTCACTTCAGTTTTCACACTTAACCCTTTAACTCCCAAGATCTGATTGTCAATTCTCCCTTGTAGCTGCCACACATTTCCTTTTAAATTAGTTATGAGAACTTGGTGCTAGATCAAGATAGCAGCTTCTACCTGATAAGTTTGAATATTCTCATCACCTGTTTGCTGAAGAATGTATGGATATTGAAGGGAGAAGTTTTATGTTAATCACTTCTGAGAGTTAAAGGGTTAAACAATTTAATTTTCATGGCTTTGAAGACCAGAAGAATTAACATAACAAAAAGGTTAGAATGTTACTTCTACATGAAGCCCAGTAACATCTGTTTTCAACAATTATTGTTGTTATCATTATTAGTTTGTTTACAATTAAATTCACTCAATGGGGCAAAAAAATTTTTGCTGGTAAATGACCTGAATTTCTCAATGTCAAGTCAGAATCCATATTAGAAAAACAAAACAAAAACAAGAAAACATTAAATGACAAAACAGTTAAACATTATGTTACCAAAATTCATTTATTTAGGTGGCAAAGAGCGAAGAGAAACGGTGAAGTTTTGCCAATTATTGGATAAGGTCAGAGAGTACCTCTACTGGCAATTTACAGTCTCAAAAAAAATACTAGAAAAGAAGTGTGCGTTCACTTAACTTACAAACCAGATCCCTAGACCAAGAGAGAACAGTATGCAAAAATTACTTTAAGAATACTTGTTAAATTAATCACAGTACTATCTATCTTACAGAAGATCAAGTTAGTATTTTTGGGTTTAAATGTCAAGGAGCAAATTCCCTACATCAAAAATTGTCTCTTCACAAAATGAAGACTACTTACAAAAAAATTGAAATGGTGAAGTTGTAAACCCTGCTGTTGTTTTGAACTATGAATAAAACTGTTACATCCCTTTATCACTAATTTCTCTTGGTATTTTCATGTGTATTGATTATTTCCCACTCAAAATAACTTGTAATGCTTGGTTAACATGACACATTCTGGCCTTTTGTTCTCTAAAGTTATTTTGGCAGGAAAACCTCAAAAATTTGCTACAGGTAAATTTCTACTGTATGTGTCGCAAAATTCCTTTTGTTACATGCATTATGTTTCAGCAATTTAAGTTCCAGAAGCTTGCCTTTCAGTCTACATTTCTAGCCTCCCAGCATGTTTTAACCTTGCACACAAATTTTTTTTAGATACAACTTTTCACTTTGAAGTAAGTAATATCACTTCCTGTCATGCCAAGCAGTACCCTTCCACTACCTAAAGTCAAAACATTTGAAAGCAGAAGGCACATAAGAAATAGGTGCTAGGTAATAATAAGTTCCATGTTGTTTCCTCAGATTATACAAAAAAGAGGCTTGGAACTTTTAAGTTAAAATACCCCAGGCATTCCACAAAGTTTCTACCAACCTGATCATGAAATTGATTCACACATCTAAACCTGTTCTGATAACTTATCAATCAGTCCCACTCCAAACTGAGAAATGGCTACCATACAAACTTCCAGATTGAATTTCTATATTTGTACCATGTTTCATTGGCGATTATGGCAAAGGAAAGTTTAACCCTTTCACTCCCAAGATCTTATTAGTAATTCTCCTAACTATCTGCCATACAATTCTTATGATGTTAGTTCAGAGAATTTGGTAGTGGATCAACTAACAATCCCATAATTGATATTTTTCTCTATTCTCATCACCTACTTGCTTGATATGGTATTGATATTGTTAGGAGAAATTCTGTCTTGGTCTCTTGTGGGAATGAAAGCTAAAATAGCTAACAATAGCTGACTAAACCAGTAGTGATGGCCAACAACCAGCTCTTAATGACAACTCTACAGTTTGAACGACACAACCAAGAAATGGGTGTTGAGAAGAGCTGAACTTATTTGCTGTATGGAATTATCAAGATTTATAGCATGATCATTTATAACATACGAAAGGAAAATTCATAATTAGATATCGGGAGATTGAGGGTAAAATCAATTTTAAGCCACCCAATTTTCCTTAGCAGCTAGTACTTAGAACTGTCAGAATACTCTTAATGTGATCAATGACCAACTCAAGCTCAACTATTCATTATTTATCCAGAGTATAAAAATTAATAATTATGGGAAGAGCTTTGATATTCGAAGCTTTCGTTGCAGTTATCATGACAGGTTTGCTCCAATAATTTCGGCATCTGCATAGCTTTTTCGGTATTTTGCAATTTTGCATACAGCATACAAATCATCGTTCAAAGACATTATTAACAAAAAAATTCAACTTTGAAAGAAACATTCTTCAATTCATTTTGACACGTCGCCCCTGGCTGTCAAAGCAGTTATCTGACGATCGATCGAATGTGTTTCAACCTATACTTTCCAAAAAACAAAAGAAATACTTTACAGATTGATATCTCATCAACGAGTTATGTTCACCGCCTGTCAAGTGCAAATACTCTTTTGAAAGTTAGCACTGAAAGAATTTTTCTACCTGAAGCACAGTGCAGACCGACAGATTTGCTGCTTCGACGGGTCTGGTGACGAACAGCTTACCTCTTAGTGTTAAGTAAGCCTCTTTTTTTCGGCATTTCACTCCGTCTCCTGTGCGAATTTACCACGGGCATGATTGGAAAGTGCTAGATTGGTCCATTTCCCGAGTGACTGTTCGCGTCTTCAGGCAGTGCGATCCAACCGTGTTCTGTGATTGGCTCATTTTTACACCATGGAAAATCTGTATCAAAGCGACTGTATCAGGACTTTGAACAAGTGGATGGTGGATGGAATAAAAGCCCGAAAAAAGGTTGCCTTGCGCGAAAAGCCTTAAGATATGAATATTGATATTGCCACCGATATAATAATAATCTTGAGCTTTTTCATCAGATTGAATAATGAATGGACTTGATAGGTTGTTTCACATTTCCAAAAATCTGAACTCAAGAAAACCAGGGTAACCAGGGTAAATTGAACAGAAGTCAGACATTTCTTTTATTTTAAAACATTATGGTCTATTTATTTCCTACAATTTGTTTAAACGTTCCGTCGTTTTAATAGTAATACATCCGAGGGGATATCCGAAAGCTCTTATGTCGACTTACGTACGGATTTATAAAGCTTAGACTGTAAGCCAAGATTCCCTCAGAAATGTCATTCCGTCTCTAGATTTTGTATTGGATTAGGTAAAGAAAGCCAAATTCAGCACAGTAAAACTATCTCACCGTGACACGCATCCTGACACACGTAGATCTACGAGAAGAGACTGGGCGGAGAGCAAACAACAATTTAATGGACACAGCTCCAAAAGCCTTGGTGAACAAAGACATTCCTGACTATGGTTTCCTAATCGGTTTTTTTTTATCGTTTTAGATCGTACCACTTTCAGAATAAATTTATACATCTTAGAGCCACTATAATATTCATACAGTGTAAAAAAAAGGGGGGCGACACCAAATGATTTCACGGATAAAAGATACTTCAATATTCGCTAATCAAATTTTATAGGCTAGGGGAATTTTTCCAGAAAAAGGAGTACCTATGAATTTACGATCTTTTTTTCTTCTAAACCCCCTGTGACAAAAATATGGGTAGTAATAAGAATTTAATCAAACAAAGAAAACTACTATTACCCATAAAGCCACCTAAAACTATCGCTACGCTTTCGTTAATTCGTCAATTATTGAAACCTTAACTAGAAGGCAAGGGAGAAAAAGTAGTTTGTACCATGGGGGTGAGAGGCGGTCAAAAGGAATGAGAGGGGATGGGAGAGGTGGTTCCCTCACCCTTTCCCGCCCCCTCCCCTCCACCGTCCCCTCTAACTCAAAATCGAACGTGGCCGGTCGCTTAAACGATCGCGAGCTTGTAACATTAACTCGCCCTAATAATACGCCTGCACTGTAGGCTATTGAAACCTGAACTGTATCCTCCAAAACAAAATGCCTCTCCATGATTGAATAACTAATATAAACTCTAGCCTTATAAGTTATTTGAGTCACCTATAATATAAAATTCCCAAAACAGTTTCGTTTCCAAAAATGGACTAACTAATATGACATTATCTATCACCAGGGCTCTGAGAACCCCAACGAGATGACAGCAGGGATCCAGTTGTTCAAAGAAAAAATAGCGCTATCCAACGGATAAATCGCTATTCAGTGGATAAGTGTTAACAAAACATACTGTACTATCCACCAGATAAAGATAAATAAGGTGGACAGCGTTATCCACCCTTTAAACAACCAGAAACCAATCTGTAAGTTAAAATAAGTTCAAATATACAATCTCGCCTCTTCACGCACTCCTCTGTACCTCTATATGAACTAACTGACCACCTGGAAGAGGATTAAATACATGTGTAACATGAAGTACTAGGAAGAAGTGACGCCATATTAACACACAAAAGTTGTCCACTGTGGGAATAACAGCGAGCCAAACGAAATGACCTATTCGTACTCAAATCGGAGCCATTCCTAATTCGAATTATCCAACCACAAAACAGTGCTAGCATTTGTCATCGTTTCAAAGTTTTCGATTGAATACTTATTCTCTATTGTACATTTTGTTCTGTGCTACTTCTTTAACATAATCTAGACATCACTTCTGGCCCGTTTTCGACGATATCATAAAGGCTATAGACCATAGGCATCGTCAGTGCTTGAAAATGTGCCAAACAATCAAAACGGATATGACCTACATTTAAAACATCTCAGTATCTTTTGCAATTATAAGGTTTATTTCTTACTGCTCTGCGGTGGATTGTAAAATCTTAGAGACTTGTGCAATCCTTACACATCCGTATCCTTAGTATCATAAATGAGGCCTCTGGATTCATTATTGTCAACGTCCACGTCGTTGTGTCCTTTAGTAGAGTCGTTGGCTGTACTGGCTAGAAGGTTACGTTTTGGTAACACAGGGGAATCCTCTTCTGTCAAACGCACCGACACTTTCTCCTGCGTTTTAACGTACATGGTCCAAGGTGAGACGTCTGCTTGGTTCTTCTCCGGTTGAAACAAGATCACGTACCACTTAGGGAGGTAGATACAACCCAAGATGTTGACAGCGAATAGGAAATCCACAAAGGCCAAGCCAAAAATCTTTCCTTTTCCATTTACGCCGTAGTTAATGGTGACGTAGAGGAAACAGATCACGTACCAATTGAACATGCAAAGCGACGTCCAGCGCACCTCCATGTCATTCTCGGGGGAGATCTCCTCGCTCATGGACATAATTGAATACACGGTGGCCACCGCCATGATGTAGAAAATGACGACCAAAAAACCAAATCCCTCATGGATGGAACACTCGATGTACACAGTGAAAGGGTCATCCGTAGGGTGGCGTAAAATTTCGTTTGGCAGAAAAATCGCTATGACAATTATAACACCTATGTGGATGAGAACTGTTGCTATGGCAAACAATATACGCGGCGTACAAATGCACTGTCCCCAACTCTCCTTGATTTGACCTTCCGGGTCGTAGTACCGGTTGTCAACAAATATGCTTCTAGCTATTAGGGCAGCTAAGGGAATACCAAGTGCTATGATGAAGAACCCTCGATAACCCTCACAGGAGGAGGCGCTGGGTTTACTGAGGAGGGGGACTGGAATCAAGAAGAGAATAATAACAAAAGGCAACAGAACTAACATAGCATTCCTGGCTCGACGCATCACAGGCGTGCCTCTGTTCTTGAACAGCACTACTGCAACGTAAATGCTAAAACACATTCCTGCCACCATGATGAACAACATAACCAGACTGCCAGCGTCGCTCCAATAAACGTAGTCTTCAAAGTGAGTGATGCATTCAGTCTTTGCAGCGTTGGCCGTGGACCCCGGTAGACAAGGAATGCATTTTACTGAATCGCCCTCTGTGCTGATGGAATTTTCTGTACATGGTAAGCAGTGCCAACAACACTCGGACTCGCCTCGGGTTTTCTTCAAGGCCTTGTACTTTCCAGGTTTGCATGGATCGTGGCAGATGGATTTCGGTACACTGGTTTCCTTTGTATTCCATTGGATCTCTGTCAAAGATCGCAAAGTCAGTTCTGGGTTTTCTGTGCCCGATTGCTTCCAAGTGCCAACAGAATTGAGCTTAAGGTATGTCTTATCTCGAGCTGACATGGCCGATCCATTTCCAGTTTTCTGAAGGATTTCGATTTTGTATTCAACATCTTTTAAGTTTCTCTGACGGTCGAAACGTATCCTTTGACCACTAAGGCTCGTGAAATTTACATTCTTGATGAACTTGTGAAAGTCGTGCTTTTCTGGGCAGTTAGTTTTGCACTTTTCACGTGCAGAAAGTGCATGAGCCACGGCAAAAATAGAATCAATAGTGCAGGTGGCACTGTATGCCATCGACTTTAACTCAGTCACAAGCTGTTCCAGCGAAGTCTTGTTCAAATGGACAGCGGTGGGTACCACAGAAGGGATAGTAGTGGTCGGGGCTGATGTGGACGGTGCAGGCGGAACTGTAGATGGAGGCTCCGTACTATTTTTGGTGGAGTTAGAGGAATTACTCTTTGGCGGAGTGGTAACTGCAGGCGGCTGGGTCGGTGGACTGGTTGTAGTTTTCACAATAAGTTTCGTGGCTGGTTCGGGAGAAGCCGGACCTAAGGACACGATGTCCATAATCCATGCGTTGCGGCCAGGATTTGACATCAATTGTTGAAGATGAGCTTTAAATTTTCCAATCACTGCGGACGCACCTACTCTAAACATTCCTTGAGCTGCTGTATTTTCGATCGAAAATTTGGCCGCGTTGTCCCATGACGAATCGGTTCCGATCCACGTTAAATCGTTAATTTTCTGCTTAAATGCTTCGTCAATGATGCTCTTGAAAAGATCTTTTGAAGTCAACATTACAACCACCGAAAAATTTTTCTCAGCTTTCAGAGAACTGATAAATGTCTTGACTTGTGTGCCGCTCGCATTTGATGCCAACGAATACTTTTTACCGATACAGACAAATTTATCCAAGGCCTCTTGTTCAAGAAGGTCTGCTGTATACTTTCCCACAGGGCTGTCGTTGTACACTACTCCAACATATGTCCAGTTTAATCGCGCTGCGAGATGAACAATCGCCCTAAGGTTGGATCTGTCCCTCGCGATAGCATGAAATATAAATTCTGTGCGAGATATAAGATCGGTCTTTCTCTCGACTCGGTAAGTGGAAGCGATGCAGCTCATGTGTGGCGTTTGATCGGAGAACAGGATCATCAGTGCGCGGTAAAATGCGTCGGTATCGTCACGTTTCTGAGGTAGATCGCCCACAGCTGCAGCTAGAAACTGGTCTTTAGGTCGGTGAGAATTCACCACCAGGTCCATGGCCGCTTCATCCGCCCGAGGACAAGTGTCCCTAATATCATAACCTAGTGATTGGTTGAGGGAAACAATTTTCTTCTTGTTGATTTCGTCCACAGCAAATAAAATGGCCTCGACCGTCAAGATGCCTCGTAAGTTAGGTTTAACACACGAGTCTCCTGTTTCCCTCTGATGCACGGGAACAAGACCGGCGACAATCAAACCACTTGGCTTTTTCATATCTCCGTTCGCACAGGTGAAGTTGATGCAGAGCGAACAACAAAACCAAAGCACGATAAAAACCACACTCGTATGAAATCCTTCCATGCCGAATTCGTCCTTCGTGCAGAAATTAAATTAAGAAGGGAACCATGGACGGCGTCTGGCGAGCCTGATAAAGTCAGATGAAATAACTAAGTTCAACGAACAATGAAAAGATTTACTCAATTCATAATAAACAGATAATTTAGATGATTGCGCAAATTATGAGAATGATAAAGGTTTCCCAGGTCTGGTGCATGCTTCTGTTTGAAAAAGGCCTCTGAATTGCTTTTACATGAGAAATATCTACGTACCTTGAATTATAGAACGGATTGGAATAAATGAGTAATGGTTATATAAAATTTCATTTTTGTATTAAACCCATCACTTCTGCAGGAAGACTAGAAAGCGTGGAATTGTACTTCGTTGTGGATCAAAGATATGTTGACACCTGAATGAATTGTCAGCTTATGACAATCGAGTTCTCTTGGATCAAGAGCATTTGCATTTAACCCCAAACAAACATAATAAAGGTAATTATCATAAGTACATCTTGCTTTAGTAAGACCTGTGGGCAGCTGCTCGTTCATTTTTAAAAATTGATCAAGAAATGTGATCTCTTGTATTAAGGATTTCCATTTTCTCGCGTTTTATGTAGCAGGTTTGAACGAAAGAGGACAACCCGCACCACATTACGAGAGCAGATAACTTACTATCGTTCAAAACATGAACTTTTTTTTTCTGGCGCCCCCTGAATTTATCGCTATCTCACTGTGACATGACACAAAACGCGTGTTGGGACTCTTTGTGACCGCAGATGCATGGGATCATATCAAAACAAAACATAAACAGAAACTGAGAAGGGTCTAGTGAACACTGTGAGGTGCTCAGAGATGAAACTGTGCATGCATGTGAGGTTCTTTTTACTCAACGAGATCTGTCGATGAATGGTTCCTACATGGCCTTCCTTGCCTTAATTTAAGTAAACTTCGAAATTGGTTTTCGTGTTAGTGAGTTCCGTCTGAAGGACAGGCTTCGAAACAGAACTGCTGAACAGAACTGACCTCCAAATATTTACCCACTACACAATGCGATAGTTTTAAGAGCTGACATGAGTCGCTGCTGTTTCTTTGTTTTTTTACCCTATGGGCACTATCAAGGGTACAAAACACACAAAAGAGACGTTTTTGTTTAGTTTAATCCCTGAAGAGAGTTTAGACTAAACGTGCTTGTATGAAAATTATAATGCAGATGTAAAACATAAACCATAACTTAAGTTATAACGGTTGATCCCGAATGCTGATAAAAAAAAATAATAGTAAAAAAAAAAAACATTACCCACTGGGGAAATTGAAGATGAACCCATAGTATCGATTCCTTTTTGACAAGAAAATAACTGCAACACATCCACGACATTGTTAGACCGGATATTAATTGTTTTTTAATAAACTTATCCAGGTGTGTCAAGTTTTAAGTTGTTCTAGAAACACCGCATCACTGCCTGAAGCTATTAACCGGGCGAAGGCTGATTTCGGCTCCGTTTAATGTTTTAGAATAATAGAGGAAAATTTAATGATAACGTCCACAGTCTCTTCAGGTTTTGTAGGAGAGAAAACGAAGGAAAAAGTAGAAAACAGAGAAGAAATATATGTTCTCCACTATGATCTTACAGTCGTAGTCCGCAATGACACTTATTTGCTACAGATTAACACTAAAATTTTCTCTGACTAGACCAATGATATTAGGCAACTGAAAGTTGCAATTAGTAACTGCACGTTTCTACTTGAGCAAAAGCTTTCTTGAATATGTATATGTCCACAGGGTCATCAGATAACATGGAAGAAAATTAACAATTTCCTTAAATGTCACGGTAGGTCAACAACCAGTTGTGACCATCTATCTTTCACGTGTATAGGACTAAAGGAGACTGTTTCTCACATGTGCTCTCGTAAGATAGAATAGTTGCAGAGAATTTGGACATATTAAAAGCTCTTCTTTTCTACACAGCTTTCCGCCAAAAAATGCTGCTGTACCTATTCGAAGAAGGACTGAATGGAGAACAGGGTAAAATTTAGTGAAGTGTAGTCACAGTGGTTGACCCTTTTTCTTTCTTGTTTATTTTATCAGGTATAATCCTTTGTAGTTGATCTACGAATTGAAATTTTATCGGCAGTCAAAACTAAATCTAACTATAGTAGTCTGGTTTCGATGTCTTTCTTCGATCAGAACTGATCACAGAAGTGTTCCCGAATACATTAATTCAGTTGCAAACCAAACAGAAAATAAATGAATTCTCTCAGACGAACACACTGTTCAAGTAAAAATGAACAAATTAACTTTCGAAGAATTGGTGAAAGATCTTAGCAATCAAACCATTTTTGTACTACCTCTTGGCGGGGAAACTGATTTTATATCGGTACAGCAAATATCCTTCCGAGCAGATTTTCAAACTTTCAGCGTGACTCTTTATCGGTCCAAAGCTAACAGATGATCAAATTTAGAGCCGAACAGGTCTGACTGTTTGTGACTTTCCTCTGAATGTCATTGATCAAGAAAAACTGAGTTTCTATTTTTTTCGAGAAGGCAATAGAGCTGTTTGAGCCCTGTCTGCCAAATGTTTCGTTAGAGCCGGGGAAGTAAGTCTAAAACTTTTAGTTCATTTCATCCACCAACTCTCTAAAATTTTCAGTCTCTCGAATGTAACAGACCATATCAAAATTTGTCATGACGCTAAAAAGTTCGCCCTCCAAATGATGGAAAATGACGTCGAAGAGTTCGTGACGGTCTAAGTGCCGATTTTACGTAAGCGTTGATTTCAGCTTGACCCTTGGTTGAATGATGAGGTTTTTGAGCAAACCTCCTTTAAAGTACGCTACGTTGCTCTGTGCAGTTATCCGCACGCTTTACTGAACCGTTGGATAGGAGGATCGGTTACTGTTCAACCGTCTTTGCAAAACGATTCGCATGCACTTAAGCCATCTTAGACAAACTGAATTTGGTGTGACGTGTTTATTCTTTCTGTCGCAAGACTGAACGCAAGTTATGGACTTCCTCTAAAAAGGTGGCCTCTGATATGCTGAGCTTGTAGATGTAAGAAATAAATTGAGACTAATTCAAAAAAGCTGCTGAAAATGATACGGTGGATAATGTTGCTGAACTATTACTGTGGATTACAAAAATTAAGGTAAACAGTGTAGTCCTCGATGCTAATATGAATACCGGTTTAATTCGCTTTTCGCAGCTTCTGCTTATTGTTTAAGAAATTCGTCAGAGATTATCATTAGGCATGAAATCGAGATGAAAAAGAGAGATTTAACCGTTTATCGCAGACTTGCATGTCATGCTCAGAATGTTTGTCTGTCACTGCGGTGAAGCTTGATGATATGATTTCATGCAATGGTCCGCGGGTTCAACAAACCGGTTAATCTTTGTCAAAATGAATCTTCTTAGGAAAACATTGTACTGAGAAGATTGGGGTCTTAAGGAATAGATTTACTTAATATATTTTTATTGAAATAAATACGCTTAGGAAAAATTCTTTATCAGATTGAAATTGCTAATAAAACCGTCAAAACAACAGGTCTTCTCAAAGTACTTCTCTCGCCGCTTGTAAAATGCATTATGACCCGAGAGCCGGTTGTTGTCATGATGCTACATCTCTATCATGCTACAAATTACCAACCAATAGCTTAAGGGATCACTGTGGTCAGTAAATGCTACACTCTAAAGTGAAGAGGTATTGGATTGCTAGTGATTTCGAAACGAGTTCAAGCTATGTTTGAAAAAAAAAAAGGATGTTTTCACCGTTTGCGTGCGAGTACAACGAACATACAGTCAAAATAAAATTACGCCTGGCTATATTTACAGGGAAAACCTTCCTTTGAGTTCTAATGATCGACTCGTCTGTTAGCGAAAACAGAACGAATTAAGACTTTCCAGAGACTTCTGTTGGCTTCGTATCATAAAGTCAAAATAACTTAGGCCAAGACTAGATGAAAACTTATTACCAAAAACTTCCAACGAAATACATCTAGCATATTCTTAAGCGTGACAATCGACCAGAGTGCTTACTTTGCAGATGAATAAAAACTTACTCTGCCAGCTACTCTGACTGCTGCATATACTGCGCAAATTGAAAAAAATTAATTTATATCAATGTTCTCGAATTCTCACCGTTTAAGGAAAACTCCGCTACAGTTACCAGACGTCTAATGCAGCACAGGTTTAAAGAGCAGATTTTAGCTGTGGCCTACGCGTTCATCAGGAACGCGCTACCAAAAACCCCTTACAAACATGACAAAAATGTTAAATGCCCAATCATGGCTCACAGTCATTGAGGTGAAGATTACATATAAACAAACTGAACTGCTTACTTAACACGTGGGGTCAAGTTTCAATATTTTCTATTTTTTTCACCACAGGTAGCCCAGACGTACTGTTTCGTAAGTGGTGTTTGAAAGGTCGAAACGTTCTAAGACATCACTCGCATACCTCCAGCGAAACGACTCTTTGTTTGCATTTGCATTTTTGGTGCTGTATCCACCATCTTCTATACACACTATAGACTATACTATCTTGATATCTTAAAGGCAAAAAAATGCCATATAAACCAGCCAGGTAAAACGCGGAGGTGTTCAGCTTGAGACATGAAAAGAGAAGTTTCACTATATTCCGATTATTTACCCACCATTTGGATCTTGATAAAACTCTAGGAGGGTCTTAATTGGGGTGATGTTTTTAACGGCTAAAAGTTAGTACAATTTTGGCTAATTTAACGGCTATCGGTAATATCTTTCCACTGTGGTCATCAGAAAACTTTTTACGTTTCATTTATATTTTTTTTACGACTTACGGTTAATATTTGTCAGTTTTTACGCCTATCAACTTCATTTTCTGACCGTTTTACGACTTACGGTTAACCCCATTGAGATCCTCCTCGACGATAACAGCCCCAACGGGGCCATGACGGTAAACAAATAAACTAAGAAAAGCAGAACAATTTACCACGTATCGAGGACAAACAGGACACGATAAAGAAGGACAAATAAATAGACAGGAAAAATACA